ACACCTTACCTGCTCCCAGGTAGCTCAGAGTGTGAAAGCTCTGCTCTCTCTGTCTATGGAACACAAGATCAAAGACATTTTCTTCCCCACCCTGGGCCACTTCCAAAACCCCTAAATCCATCAGCATATGAACACTATCGATTGTTCCAACAGTACCACTCCACTCCACCAATACCATATGGATTTTGTAGGCCAACAGATCCTCCATTTTACAGATTTTCACATGTAGCTGGTATTAACAGGGATCAAAACTCTCATCTGATGGAAGAAACCACCTTGCTGTACCCAGCTTCTTTAAGCCCGTCCCAACAATACCCTCTAAGCTCACATAAAAAACAAGCAGATTATGAAAAAGAAATGACATTATTGCATGCCAAAGGTAACGCCAAGGATGACCAAAATGAAAGAGAGAATGCCAAAATGAGCCCTCTTGCAGGAAGTGCAGCAACAGGCTCCCCTGGCAGACCCAGCCCCACCAACTTCACCCAGACAAGCCACACGTGTGAGGGTTTGTTTGACCTCTCCAACAAGTCATCATCCACATCCCTGGGCAAGTATGACCAATCAGAAGAAAACTTCACAGCCTTCAGACCTGTGAGAAAAAGCACGGACCAAGCGCCTTCCCTTCAAGGAGTGCAGGCACAGCAGGAGAGAGGGGATTCACCTAACAGGTAAAATAACACTGTGCAAATTCTGGTCAGGTTTACACAAAGACAGATGGGCACATTTCATGCAATGCTTGTTTATATTTAGATTTACAGCAGTGAGTTAATCTGTTCTGTACTAACTGTGCAAAGCTACAGTGAGCAGACTCTTCATTCTCCTTAAATGTACCAGGAATTTCCACCTTGTTTTTGTACTTCCAATGGGTTTGAGTATTTCAGGGAATTACTTCCATTACAGTGATGGGTATGGTGAAAGGTATTTGGGGATTTAAAGGGGAAACAACAGAATTGTTGGACTTCTAGCCTAGAAATCTAGAGTTTTTCCTCTTCCTGCCCACTTCCACAGCCTCAGTTTAAAAGAGCAATTGATAGTGAATTCTCTTTTCTCCTTGTTTCTTCCAGCATCAATGTCACTGATGAAGACTCACACACACAGACCGATGGCCAGAACAACATGGGCTCCCTGTCCAACACCGAAGAAGACACAGGGATAGGCCCCCTCAATCTTTCAAAAAAGCCTGACACAAGCACAGGACCTACTCATGAGCACATGTACAAAACCCCATCCAAAACAGACAGGCAGAGCTTCCTGGAAATGCAGGACATGCCCCTGAACCTCTCAGTGAAGGATTCCTGTAACACATCCAGCCTGAAAACATCCTTCCACAGCCCATCCCACGACAGCGCCGCCGCCGCTCCTCCGAGCGCCGAGAAGGAGAGCTCCGGAGCGGAGCCCTGCGTCCCCAAGACCCCCAGCAGCAGTGCCTGTGACAAACCTTTGGCAGCCCAGCGTGGTGAGGCTGCAGACTTGGGGCTCATGGAGAGCTGTGATGAGCAGAAGCAGACAGCAGCTGTGGCTCTGTGCCAGCTGGCTGCCTACAGCCCCGGCACGGCGCGGCTGGACGGCGACGGGCACGGCGCGCAGGACGGGCACGGCGCGCCCGCCGAGCCCGCCGCCGACGCTCAGGATGCTCAGGGCAACCCAAAGGGGAAAGGACAAAAAAGGACAAACCAAAAAGAATCCACGAAATCCCAGCAAGGTGCTAAGAGGGTCAGGCCCAATGACTGCAGCAGAGTCTTCACTTTAAGGAAGAGAACAAGAGTGTCCTAATTCTCCTCCTTTCAGTGAGTTTCTGGTTACCAGCGTCATCGTGAAATTTCTACAAACCCTCATTCGTTGGGCTTGGCCCATGACAAGATACATTCAATCTCTCCATTGTAAATAATGTTCATAATTTTATATTAATATTTTTAAGTAATTGAACTTTGCCTTGTACAAGCTCAGGTTTTGATGAGTGAATTTTTGCATTCGTTCCTAAAGCCAAAGTAAATCAGATGAATCGTCAAGGGGTTTTTGCAATTGTATGATGTAAAATAACTTTTACAACTTCTTTTCTTAAAAGACATTTAAGCTCTAGAAACAATATTGCTCAATAACATACTGTCATAGTCTTTTTCCAGCCTTAACTTCATCTAATAAGGGGGGTTTTGGGTCTTTTTTTTTCCTTTGAAAACCTTTTTATGTCATTGCTTAAACAAGCTTAAGATTAAAACTGGCTTTTTAGAATATACTGTAAAAACTGCTCTGTGTATGGATGCACTTTGCCATTCTGCCCTAAGAGAGAACAACAGCCCAAATTTATTTACTCAGAGGCAGAGGCCACTTGAAATGAACTGCCCCAAACCCTGTGTAAGCGACCTCTTCTCACACTGACTGAGACCAAGATTCAAGTCAAACCAAAGAAAGCCTGCACAGGTTTAACAAATGCAGTTTATGTTCAACTTTAAGTAAATGGCTTTGAAAACAACACTGAAAATATGAAGAACTAAGCAATCCAGGTGCCTGCTTTGCTGAGGTTAGACAGACACTGGGCAGCCTTCAAACTCCAGGCCTAAAAAGTTATTTATATAATTTATTTCATCTGAGGCAAACTCTCCTGGTGAAGGTCTTGTTTCAGTGCATGTGTTATCATTCACTATCAGTTTCTGTGTCCTTCTACATACAGCCATAAAACTATTTCCTACTTCTATATCTGTGTATATAAACTGGCAATTTTTCAAATAAATCTTGTGATCTGTACTTACAATATATGGAAAGTCATTCATGAACACAAATACATTTACTACACTATCTATATTGAAGAACACCTAGCAAGAAGTTGCTAGTAAAATTTTTAGTTGGCAAGCAAAATTTTGGGATCAAATCAATTCCAAACAAAAGAAGCTTTCTTCAGTGATGGAAATTCACTACACAGGTTAATTCATCCTTGCTTTTAATTCCAAACAATGAGGCTCAGAATTCCCTCTGCCTTAAAGCTGCTGTCCAGCTTGTGCAAACTCCAAACTGCTGCAAAAGTTCAACTAAAATAAGGCTGATCCCTGTGTAAATTTGCAGAGTGTAAGGAGAACAAACCCAGAACAAGCATTATTCCCATAAAACCACAGGTATACATTTCTCACTGATCATTACTCAGGTTAGAGGCATTCTCACTTGCCTGAACATCACTAATAGGTGTAAAACCTACTCAAGGAAGTGGAGCTGCATTCAACATAATGCAGAATTCCCAGAATTTTTTTTAACTCATGTTTTGTGCTGTGCTGCTTTGAGCCAACAACTCAGACAGAGCATTGTAACAAGTTCAGAAATTAAACAGTAAATGACAGAACTTCAGTTTCTGAGGTAAGGAACTAAAAGAGATAGACTGATCTTTAATTTAATCCTTCATAGAGAAAAGCTTCTCTCACATTATCAAAAGGCAAAAGTATCAATGTGAGTTTGAAAAAAGGCAATGAAGTAACAGAAGAAGCCCAATTAACTGAAATGGCAGCAGCAGGGCATAAGTCAGTGTGAGGTACTGAGCTGTACATCAGCATGTGCTTTCCAGTCCAAGATTAAAGCTTCAACCTTAGGGTCAGATGCTGCTAAATCCCTAATTTCCAAACATGAAATTACAGAGTCATGTGTCACCACTGCCACTCTTCACACTACTTTAAGCTATGTGCCTCACTCATTTCTGAAAGCAGAAAGCTTCAGTTATTATTATCCACAATTTGAAAAAAATATCTCATGCATCTCTTTACCTGGTAATTTGAATTTCTTTAAAGTGAACGAAAAAAGACTTTTTGGTGTTTCTTCCATAGAATTCAAGGATTTATTCTCCCCCATCTCCATACAAATATTATTTATAAAAGCCAGCTCCAGTGCTGATCTGATCTGCCTTCTTCAAATTAAATAAAAATCTGTCATGAGGTTATCCAGAATCCCTGACAGAGGTGGACAGTTCTGGTTTTGTCAGAACTGAAGTACAGATTTACCTGTGAAGGATTTCCCTTTCAGGATTCCCCAGCTGTAAACTGGAAGGTTTTTAACTGTTCCACCTTTATCATGGAAGGGCAAAAGTAATGAAAAAAGGGAAACCAACTGAAGGCTCCCTGCACAAACATTCTTACATGCACCACATGTGAGAAAGAATGGACATGAACTCCTTCCAGGGAGACAGAGTAATCAACTGTATTAAATGCCACATTTTACAGCACATCTTCAAAGATTTAGAAAAGATTTAGCACCCTGACTTACTAGTATGAAACACCAGCTTTGAAATATTTTTTAAATTTAGTGTTTAATTTCTCTGTTCAACACAGAAGCACCAGACAGGACCCAAAGAATCATCTAGAACAAGCCACTGCTGTAAAAGCACCCAAGGGTGGATGTCAATTGCTACACTCTGCTTTTGTCATTCCCACTGTGTATGGCATTGACCAAAATTACATTAATATCTCTGTAATTCAATGTATGTTGAAAACTACAGAACACACAAAGAAACAATTCCTCTGCCCTGTTCTTTTTCTTTCCATCCTGCTATTTCAAAAACCCATTTAAAACATAAACATTTCATGTATAAATTACATTAAACTGGCCTTTGAAATTTAACCATAAACAAACTGCAGAAGCTACTGGCTTTAAAGAGCAAGTTAGTCATCAATTATTTAATATATTCTGCTTAAATAATGACACTGACACAATATGGAGACAAGCAGAATTGTTTTATACAAGTGTACAAAGAAACATGGGAGGGAAGAAGAAAGAAGAAAACCCCAAGAAATTAATTCCATTTTGGAAAGAAATATTTATTAAGTATAAAAAAGGCACACCCAAGCCAATGCTTTAGACAGAAGTACTTAAATATCCCCATGGGCAAATGTTTTACTGTAGAACTCAGTGGTTCAGTCATCACCCAGCACTCACACATCAGCAAATCCCAGTCTATTGCCACACATTTGGTGCCTAACAATATGAATTATTCCATGAACTTACAGTCAGCAGGTCCAACTCACCATCTGGGATTCGGGAAGGGAGCAGCAATCCTCTCCTGCCCAGCTCAGCCAGGGCCAGGCACCCCCCGTGCCACGCCGTGTCTGTTTCCTGGAAACTAAAGCCAGAACAAGTTTGGTCCAAACTGGCCCTTCCTCTCAGGATTTCATTTCTTATGGTGAATTCTTAACATTTTAAAAGACTCCCAATCCAAACCAGCATGTTCTTATTGTGTTATTGCTGCCACTGGACTTGTAAAATAGAAGAATGACAAGTTAAATGGTTTCCTTCCCATTTATGCAACATAAACAGTGCTATAAATATGACTAAATACTCAAAAACCTCATTTTTGACTCATAAATGTAACTCAATACAGAAGATTCAATACCTGAAACTCATAGAAAAAAGGAAAACAACTTCCTAGTAAATGGGCAAAAGATTTACAGAACATACCCAAAATAATTAATGAGTTTAGTGCCAAATGCAGCCCTTAACTTGCACAAGAGGTTCAAATGGCAATTCCCAGCAAACCCATTACAAAAGTTTATGAAGTAAGCAAATAGTGGGTTTTATCCACCTTTAGAAAACATCAACGAGAGAAACTTGCAGTGAACACAGCAAAAAACCCCAAATGGTAAATAATTTATACTGGGCTGGCAGATAACAGAGTGACAAGAGGAAAGGTGGCAAGCTGCAGGACTAAATCAGAATTCATCCTGTATTACACTAGGAGTAGGAATCTAAGATTCCAAATAGTAAATAATGGAGTGAAAAGAGGAAAGGTGGCAAGCTGCAGGATTAATCACAATTCATCCTGTATTACACTAGGAATAGGAATCTAAGATTCCAAATAGTAAATAATGGAGTGAAAAGAGGAAAGGTGGCATGCTGCAGGATTAAATCTGAGCAGAGTTCATTCTGTATTACACTGGGAGTAGGAATCTGAGAAGAAAACACTGGACAGCCAGGCTAGGTCAGATCCAAGCTTCATTTCTCCCAACACCATCTCTGAATTGCAGCTCTGAGAGCAGGTGCTCACCAAAGAAAAGCAGGACCCCCATCCCCTTCTTGCCCCCCTGGCTTTGGCAAGCAGCAGCACAGAGACAGCTCAACCAGAGGCTGGAGCCAGATTCATTATTTAATAACCTCTGAAGGGACTCTCTTCCATTAATTTGGATAATCCCTTTTTGAACTCCCTTTACACTTTTGGCTCCCATAACATCCCGTGGCAATGACTTCCACTGGTTAATTACAGCTGTGTGGAAATGCACTTCCTGCTGCTCCCCTGCTCTGGCACCAGGGAGAGTGAATGGTAAACAGCCTCTCCTCTCCCTCCTTCTGGCCTATTTACAGTGGAGATCCAGCAAATCCCACCCCTCCACTTCTCCTTCCCACCTGTAAAACACCCCATCAGTTAAACCACTTCTCAGTGATTTCGTTTCATCTCTTCCTTTCCTCATCATTTCCAACATTTCTCTTGTTTTCCCTGCCAGCTGCTGAGTGCTCCCCTGACACACTCTGACAGATCAGTGGCTTCCAGGGCTTTGACAGTGAGCAGCATTTTGCCCCAAGTACATCAGTTTGCATGCATTAGACATGATGTTTTACATGACATTTACTGTCATAGTACCTCACCTGGGCTTCTGTAACACTTTCCTTCCTGCCACTTTCAGCTCTCACTACATTAAATCAACTTTGAATATCAGCTGGTTTCCTCAGCCCCTCATTCCCCTTTTTTCCAGATTCTTTATGTGTATGTTGAACAACACAGTTCATACCCCAGTGGAACTGTGCTGACAATCTCACTACACTGTGAAAAATCATCACTCATTTCTTCCCTGACTTTTGTCTTTTGATATGTGTACATAGAACAAATCCTTTCCTCTTATCCCAACAAGTACAACAGAGTGCTTCTGATGAGCAACTGCTTTATTCCTGTTTTGGTCAAGAGATATTTAGTGCAAAGACTCCAAGAGAGCCTCTCTCTGTCCTTGCCTACATTTGTTCCCAGGTGTTTCTGAAGAAAGCAGGTCACTCAATTGCTAGTTGAATTACTCATCCCTATGACTTGAAAAACAAGGAAAGAAAACACAGTGAGCACAGGTCTTTGAAGCTCCAGGGATAATTGAGATCAGCAGCACCTCTTAAATTAATCACAGTAACACAGTGAGGGATCATCTAAGTGGATACTTTCCTTGCAAGTCTTTCAGACTTTATACCTTCTTTTTTTCTAATGTGTTATCCTTTGAGCTGGCATCCTTTATTTGTACTCACAGCCAATGTGAAAATGCTTTTTAAAACTGGGAACATCTGAGTGACAAACTGCTCCTGACCAGCATTTCTTGCCAATAAAGAAACTCTTTTTGTTATTTTTGGTTTTTATGGTTTGCCCTAAACCACTCGTTTAGATTTCAGGTACTCAATGCAGCTGTGATGAGCAATTTGGTATTAAACAAAAGCACATGATACTTGTTTAATTTTTTTCTTTAATGACTTTACATGCTCTACAGGAATGCAAAGCCATGACATCCAACACTAAAGTGCACCAAAAGAGCATCCCACAGCTCTGGGTGCCCCAACCAGAGTTTCCACTGGCCCCAAATCCTCTCTGACACAGCCAAGGGCAGATCCCTTAGCCAGAGTCTAAAACCAGCACATTCACTCTGCAAAACACTTCCAAACTCTGGCAGATCATGGAGAAGCTTGCAGACAAGCTGCACACTTTTTGTTCAGGGAAATATTCTCAGTATCCACAAGGTCCTACGGCAAGAATTTTTTACAGTTTAACTGTAAAAACTAAATAACATCACTCTGTCTTTATTCCAAACCTGCCAGCTGATGCTTGAGTTTGCTTCTAGGAACACAAAAACTAGAGGCAACCACATCCACACCATTCCCAAGTGCATAAATCTCTATTATACCCTATTTATTCCTCACTCTCCCTCCATGTTTCAGCCTCCCCTCACACAGAGATTGTTTCTCACCTCTGGTGAAGCTCAGAACATCATTTCCAGCTCTGCTGGGTTTCTGAGGATGGACACTAAGCTCAAGACATGAGCTTGAGCACACCAGGAATCTCTAAAGTAGCAAGTTAATGGGCATTTTTAAAATTTTTCCTAAAATTAACTTCAGTGCCTGCACACTACCTTAATATGGGGTCATGAGGAGGGACCAGAAATAATTTCTTGAATACCCTTAGCCCATCTGTGCCTTCAAAGATTTTGAAATCTGACAGAAGGACAGCAAGAAAATTCACAGATTTTTAGACCTTGCTTCCTAACTGATGTCCCCCTGTTGCACAAGCAGACATGTTTCAGATGTGTGTAAAGTGTGAAATAAGATTTTTACCTAAAACAGTCCAACAGAGACCCAATCACATCATCTGCTAATTCTTTTGGGAGTCTTCCAGTTATTCTACCAATTCTACAGAAGAAGAAAAAGAAAGAAACATACAATGGATCATTAGTACTACATTTGATTGGTAAATTACAAGAAAAAAATTAGTTACTGGAATCTTCCTGACTTCAGGATGCCACCCCACTGCCCTAAGACTGATACCCTTAAACAACAATCTCAAACTTTAAAAAAATCTACACAGCAGTGAACCCTCCACAGAAATGCATTTTAAAAGAGAAAGAGAAAAAAAGCATTTTGAAGAAATGTTTCTTTGCACCCTTCAAACCTTATCTTACCCAGAACATCTATTTCCAAACCTCCAAAGCCACCTGAAATTCCCTAAAAACTGACCTGAGTTTTCATCAGCAAAAGAGACAAACGTGTCTGTGCACCCACCCACCACAGGCTGTGCTAAAGCCATTTGCAGTAACAGCAAAATTGGCAATATACCCAAATTATCAGTCATGGATTACACTACATTTCTATACTGGTTAAGCTAAGCTGTAAACAAGACAGAAATATATTGTTTACATGTTCTATATTGTTCATATTCATTGCTTACAGTCACCAGAACAAACTCACCCTTTGGCTGCAGACCACCTGACAATGGTGTCTTTGTCTTTCAGGCCAACCAACAATTGCTCTGCAAATAATTTGATTTTAAAAAAACAAAAATAACAGATTATTCTTATTTAACAACAGAAAATTTTCTTAAGATGTTCAAATTTCATTTGCCTCGTTGTATAAAAATCTTTGTATCTAGATTTATTCTATTTGTCACATAAGTATGGCTTGAAATTAAAAGCCAAGAAATATGTCTAAATGGTTTATGGAAAAGGATTGAAATTTTAAGTGCTGTAAAAAATTCAAAATGGAGGCCATGGTGCTTTTTGCAGAGGTTCATTAGATTATTCAGTTATAAAAGTCTTCTGATGCAATTTTTGCCTATTTATTTACAGAATATCCACCAGCCAGCTAGCAGAGGACATGCTGTACAACTGCCTATTAACAAACAAATGCTGTTCCTTTGATACTACCACAGTCTAAAAATTAAACCATAATTCTTCAGCTTTCATGTGACACATTTTTTGTTGTGTGTCTCATTATAAATTTTAATTCATTTGTAAAAGGCTCAGGGCATCTCTTTTATATAACTGGATAAAATTGGTAAAATATATTTCAGTGTGTTTATACCTCCATGGCCAACTCCAGTACAAATACTCCACTACTGAGTTTCTGATTGAGAGGCTGAAATCCAACCATTTGACAAAATACCATCTATTTTATTCTGCAAAGACTGAAGTTTTAGAGTCTTTCCAGCTGTTCACACTAGCACAGACACCACATTACTTTTTTAGTCCCAATCAGATTGTTTTCCAATGTATGTTTAATTTGCAGCATGTGAGAAATGGATTTGTAAAGAACTTTTAAAGTTTAATAGAGGTTTATATAGTATGCATTTGTATATAAATTTTGTATTTGTATATAAATGTAAAATTTAAATTTAAAAGAAAAAGGCATAATCCAACAGCAGCATTGCAACAACTTCTCTCCAGTTTTAACACACCTACAACATTTTCAATCTCTGCTGGAATGTCATATTCCTCATCATCATCATCAGCTTCAGCTTCAGCAGCAGCAACTTCTCTCTTCTGGTTCTGCACAGCAGAGCCCTGGGCCTGCAGGTTGGCAGCCAGGGAGCGACAGCCACGCTGGTACCTGCAGAGCAAACACAGCTCCAGTGATCTCTGCCACCAAGTCTGTCTGTCTGTCACCTCCTTCACCTCCCAGGGTGAGCAAACACAGCTCCAGTGATCTCTGATTTAACATCAGCTGCAGCAGGGACACACTGCCACAATGTCTGTCTGTCTGTCTGTCACCTCCTTCACCTCCCAGGGTGAGCAAACACAGCTCCAGTGATCTCTGATTTAACATCAGCTGCAGCAGGGACACACTGCCACCAACTCTGTCTGTCTGTCTGTCACCTCCTTCACCTCCCAGAGTGAGCAAACACAGCTCCAGTGATTTCTGATTTAACATCAGCTGCAGCAGGGACACACTGCCACAATGTCTGTCTGTCTGTCACCTCCTTCACCTGCCAGGGTGAGCAAACACAGCTCCAGTGATCTCTGATTTAACATCAGCTGCAGCAGGGACACACTGCCACCAAGTCTGTCTGTCTGTCTGTCTGTCACCTCCTTCACCTCCCAGAGTGAGCAAACACAGCTCCAGTGATCTCTGATTTAACATCAGCTGCAGCAGGGACACACTGCCACCAATGTCTGTCTGTCTGTCACCTCCTTCACCTCCCAGAGTGAGCAAACACAGCTCCAGTGATTTCTGATTTAACATCAGCTGCAGCAGGGACACACTGCCACCAATGTCTGTCTGTCTGTCACCTCCTTCACCTCCCAGAGTGAGCAAACACAGCTCCAGTGATCTCTGATTTAACATCAGCTGCAGCAGGGACACACTGCCACAATGTCTGTCTGTCTGTCTGTCTGTCTGTCACCTCCATCACCTCCCAGAGTGAGCAAACACAGCTCCAGTGATCTCTGATTTAACATCAGCTGCAGCAGGGACACACTGCCACCAAGTCTGTCTGTCTGTCTGTCACCTCCATCACCTCCCAGGGTGAGCAAACACAGCTCCAGTGATTTCTGATTTAACATCAGCTGCAGCAGGGACACACTGCCACAATGTCTGTCTGTCTGTCACCTCCTTCACCTCCCTGGTACAGCTCTCCAGTTATTCAGTGACTGTTTAAAGGAAAGGGAGAAATATCCCATTCTCCTTGCTCCTGACCCACTTGTCTGTTTTCCAAGGTGAGAAGAGCCAGACTATTCAAATAGTTCCTTTTCATTATCCCTCCCTTTCCTGTTTCACTATAACCTATTTTCCACTGCTAACAACAAAGAGAGACAAAATTCCCAGGCCCCAAAAGTCTCTCCAAAAATGAAAAAAATATTAAAAAATTAATAAAATCATCTTATTAAAAATTGCTTTTTAAATCTCAAAGCCAGCTTAGTACTTTCTGACCAAGCTGTACTCGAATATTTAGCCCGTGGTGTAGATGCATTCTTACAAAAGATAGACTTTACATGCTAAACTGACTTTTGCCATGGGGCAACGTACATTCTCCACCTAAAAAGAATTTTCTATGCCTAAGGATGTTCTCAAAAGCCAGTAAAATAAATACAATAAAAATAGTCACCAAGGGAGCCTGCAATTTTAAAATATCAGTGCGAGAAATCTAAAAAAGAGTTTGCCCTCTGGCAGTAGGTAAAACCAGACACCAAAACCTGACTAATATGCAAAACCAGAGCAGGATTGCAAACCACTTTTCCCCTGTGAACTTTCTATCGAATCAGGGTAGGACCAGGTAATGGAAAAAGTTATGTTCACTCTTACAAAATTGTACTAAATCAGCTTCAGGAACAAAGGTCTTCCCATATTTAGTGAGTTATGCATTATATAGGAACAGGCTTCTGCTTGTGCAACGTGCAAAGTCAGATTTGGCTTGTCCCAGCACTCACTTATGTACCAAAATTGAAAAAAAAAATACAGGAAACTAAACACAGTGGAAGAATCCTCCTTTTTCTAAATACTGCAAATAAAGAATAATGTTCATTCCCACAGGGATTTCTTTGTCTTTAAGGCAATGTTAAGAGGGGCAAATGCATGGATTTATGAATTTGTAGTGGGTTTTATTTAAGGATTTTCCTTTTTTTTTTTGAACTTTTCAGCTTTAAACTGACCTCCACTTTGCTACCTTTGGTTTCACAAATGTCAGCCCAAGCCTCTGGACCAGTTTCATGCCCAGCTTGCGCAGAACCATCTGATTGCTCTCTGACAGCTTGCAGCTATCCAGACACTCCAGAACAGTAGCAGCTGCAAAAGAAAACAAACACACCAGAAAAACAGCTTTTCAAAACACCTGGGTATGAACATCTGAAAGTTTTGAATGGTTTTGGGGATATTAATGTTTTTAAAGGCATCACTGAAACACCAATGCCCCGTTACCTACTTTGTGGGAGATGACATTGGTCAAACAGCTGCATTATCCTTCACTGCCCAAATAGGGGAGATGGCTTTAAGGATTAGTTTTGATTATGAAAATTATTATCTACATTCTCTGAGTGTTTATGTCTCTGTTTTTTGGAAGCAGCACATCCAAGTGTCTTTCAGGGTCTAAGGATTTTCAGTGATCTAACAGAACCACAAGCTAGAAAATGCAATTCTTTTACTCAGAAAATCTCCTGCACACTGAAAGCTTTCCCTTTCCTCATTTAGTATTTTCAGGCAGCACCAAATCCTGACACTGAAATTTTTATGATGATGGATGTCCAGAAACATTTACACATGAGAAACACTGTGGATGTGTAAACAATCAGCCACAAAACCTCTCATTTGAGCACATCAAAGGTAACAAAGTTATTTGTCCAGCAAGTAAAAAAAACACAGAGAAAAGAGAATCTTGGGTTAATGAGGACAAAGTTCCAGGATTCAAAATTTTCACAAGGAAGTTATGGCTGTTACAAATAAAAAAGCCCTTTTGCAGTTTCATTAGGGTGAAAAGAATTCTTCAGAAGTTGACCATTAGCTAATAGAGACTAATGACTCAGGCTCTGAAAGAGCCACTGGGCTTCAACTGCACTGCTCAGATGGAACCACAGCAGCCAAATCCTCTGCAAGCTCCTGCCCCAGCCTCATATCAGGGCTTTCAAAATACAAAGAGATCAAAGAAAATGCAATTATTTCAAAGTCTGAGACACTGTAAGACATGACTTACAAATCTGCTCAAGTCTTTAAAAAGAGAGGTGATGCATCTTGATGTACTGAAGTTACAAATGAAACAATCCCTGCAGACAACAAGCCACTGATGATTATTAATACTTCAATACCTTCCAGCAACCTGGATTTTTTGCAGTTATAAAAGCCCAAGAGACTGATAGTTTAGGAGGAAGAGGCTGCAGAAACATCATCATTCACAGACAGAAAATAAATTAAGAATATATAAATAAAGGCCTCTTCCAAGTCCTGCCAGCTCTTGAATCACTGAAATATCTACAGACCCATGTAAATTACTGCAGGGCTAGTGTTTGTTTTTAATTCAACTTCTATGTCACAAGTGACTTCAAACAGGATCTTGCTTTCACATTTGCCTATTTTTTTTCTATTTCATCCTCAGATCTGTTATAATTAAAAATCTTAGATATTTTTTGTCTCTCACATTTTCTTATCCTGAACAGTTCCCATCTGAATAGCTGCTTCTCAGTTGTGACCATTCCAGATTTTCTAGGGTAAATTCACTCATTGATATGCCCCTGATTTTCCTCCTATTACCAGACTCATAACTCACTATTCTTTCTATGCCATGAGCCAAAGTTTCTGATTTTACCAGCAGGGTTAATGCTGTGAGCTCAATATGCTCCTTCCATACTGTGTTGTACTGTGGCATTTTCTAAATTCTGTCCTTTTCTGTTGCACTGTAATTTTCCCAGCCTGTTCATTTTTCTGCTTCTCTGGCAGCCTCCCAGTGGATTCTGCTGTTCCTGTGCAATGGCATTCCCAGGATTTGCACCTGTGTCATTCCATGCTGTTTGTCTTCACTATCTTATCTCCATCAATACCCATCTCTCAGGCATTTTCTAAGGAAGTGTCTGTATCTCAGCCTTAGGAACTGGGAAAATGACACTTTCCAGCACCAGAACTAAAAAGCTTCTTCTCAGGGCCAAAATAATGTCATGAGTGAAATCACAAACACTCTAAAGTGAGTTTATATCCCTACTTGGTTCCTGTGAATGGCATAAACCCCATTTCTGGTACTTGGATAACCTGCACAAAACTGACCAGGCCTTTTGTAGTGTTTTGGAACTGGCCACCACCTTTCCCTGCCTCCCCTTACTGCTATCAATAAGGCCCAAGATCACACTGCAGTCAGTTCTGATCATATTTCAAGATTCACCCCAAGATAAACACAATTCCAAAATGCAGCTACACTGTTCAGAAACCTCCATACTCTCTTTTTCTCTTTTTGGCATCCTGTCTATCCCTAATTGCACCCAGTATAATCTCTTTTTACTAAAAAACTTCTCTTCTTCCAAAATTATCCCCACATGACTCCAGCTGTGTCCTGTACACAACTGGTTCTTAAAACTTGGGTTTTTTTGAAATCCTGTGTTTGCATTAAAACTTGAAGAGTCTCTGCAAAACTTCCAGCAGGAATATGTACAAAACCAGTCTATGCTCAACTGAATTTCAAACAAATATTTTCCACATCTAACAGTTTCTATGTTCTGTGTTCAGCTCCTGCATTACAGCAATGGCCAGTGTGATCCCCTGCCAAGCCCTCTGATGTGCTGCCCCAACACAACATTCCCTGGTGGCATCTGCTCCTCCCTCACTGTCATTTCTGCTTTTGCTGGCCTCATTTTTCCTGCTTTATCACTGTGGATTTTACTCCTTCCAGAACCACTTGTCACCAGGTTAATCTTCCTTTCCCTTTTCCACTGCAATGGCTTGAAAAACTGAACCCAGGCTATTACAAACTTACCATATGGTAAACAGTCTTCTCTCTTGCCATGTTTAAACAGCTGTGCCTGCAATTAAAATAGGGAACACAGACATGAGAATACAGAGATTCTGTAAAACAATATATCAAGCATTTAGCTCTAAAATATTTTTAATGTTCTCACAATGATGTATAGTGTTTGCTGATTTAAATAGTAAAAGGAGGAGTCTCAGGGTGCAGCTCTTCTTGGTAACTGCTCAGGGGACTGAGGTGGCCAAAAACCACTCAAGAGAAAATGAAAAAAAAACAGAATAAAAAATGAGGAAAGAAAAAGGCCACCAGTTTTGGGCTAGCTCAGGTCCTTGACCCATCAGGCTCAGTGCTGGGTCACAGGAGCTCAGTGTGGTGCAACCACTGCTTGTGAGAGACTAAACCACCTACAGACACCTGCAAATACACCTCCAGCAGGCCAACTGCAATTCCTGTGCCCAGGGAACTTTATCTGCAGCTAAATATCCCAGTGAGATTAAACCCCAGCACTGCAGCCAGACAAGGCACTATTAACACCTGACAGAACACGTTACACATTAAAAGCTTCCTCAGCTCCCCACAGAGCAAAAACCTGGCCAGGCACTTGTTTGTCCTTCACCAGAAGCAAAATCTTCCTCAATAAATATGCCTGGGAGTTAAACAAGAACAGACTTCCCCTGAAAAGAGGTACTTTCTCACACATACCAAACACACACACACACACACACACACACGCCTCCCGCGCTGCAGGCGTGGCTGCCAGCAACAGAGGCAAGAAAAACATCCTGGGGCTGTGTACCCAGCCCCTTTTGCTTTGTTACTGAATTGCATTTCAGGATCACAAATCAGCACTACTGCCAGCTATATATGGGAATTTCATATTATATGTCAAAGTATTTGAGATGTTAATGCAGGCAAGTGTGAGGGCTCCCTTAAAAATGACTTTTACACAGCAGCAATGCAATAGGATGACTTCAGGCCCAGCCAACAGAAATAAATATCACTTTAAATGTACAAATTGGCACAGCTTTTAGCAATATATGAAGTCAGTGTTAAAAAAATACAAAAATTTCTCACTGACATACAACAAAACCCTGCTTGTACTAAAAAAGCTTAAAAAATATGTCAGAGAACCTGCAAATCTTTGGTACAACAAATCTAGGGCTCCTCTGAAACTTTTCTTTGTTGAAATATGCAGAAACTCATTTCATCACTTTGTTCCTGTGTTCTGCTTTAAAACCCCATAACTGATTTCTCCACACACTTTGCTGTGGATGCTGGAGACAGGGCAGCATCCCTGCATCCTCACAATTCCCTCCCTGCATCCTCACAATTCCCTCCCTGCATCCTCACAATTCCTTCCCTGCATCCTCACAATTCCCTCCCTGAACCCTCACAATTCCTTCCCTCCATCCTCACAATTCCCTCCCTGAACCCTCACAATTCCTTCCCTCCATCCTCACAATTCCTTCCCTCCATCCTCACAACTCCCTCCCTGCATCCTCCCAACTCCTCCTTCTGCCTGACTTAACAGCAAATATTTTTTTAAGGCACACTCAGGCTTACTTCAAATTATTATTATTGTTGTTGTTGTTGTTGTTATATTCAAGCATATTCAAACAAAGCACAGTGTAATCCCTCAAGCAGTGATAATGCAGAGAAACAGCTTTTGAACAGACCCTTGGGGATGCTCCTGGACACTTTTGGCTGTGTGCTCTCAGCACACTGCTGGGGAGCTGGAACAGAACCATCCAAATAACCCATTTCAGTCTGCAGGTCCCAATAATAATAACAGAACCATCCAAATAACCCATTTCAGTCTGCAGGTCCCAATAATAATAACAGAACCATCCAAATAACCCATTTCAGTCTGCAGGTCCCAATAATAATAACAGAACCATCCAAATAACCCATTTCAGTCTGCAGGTCCCAATAATAATAACAGAACCATCCAAATAACCCATTTCAGTCTGCAGGTCCCAAATTCTGGCACCTTTCTCCAAGCTTCTCCACATGTTGTCACACCCTTGAGTCCAAGTCTGAATTAAGTCCTGACTCTGCCACCTCTGAGAGAGATGGAAGGAATCAAACAACACACAAGCAGGAAATGAGAAAAAATCAAATAGTGCACAGTATTTTTTTTTTAATGCTTTTCCTTACACACCTATGAATCAGTTTAGAGCACCAACCTTGGCAGATTCCATTTCATAATCATTGATATTATTTTCTGAAAAAAAAGTGAAACACACGTTGTCTCCCTACAGCAGTTTCACTAAAACTCAAATAACAACTATTTTCAACACAAAACATCTACTCCTACCATGGGGATTTATAATATACATTTTGTAATAAAATCATTGTGGCAACAGCTATAAATCAACTGAGATGTGCATTAAGATGTTTTATTTTATCAATACAAATTTTTAGAAGAAATAAGAATTGCCCAAAGGACACCATAGTTAATCAATAATTATTAATTTAAATTAATAACTAAACTTTTTTTTAAAGGGCCATAATATTTACATGACTTTTGATCAATAAAATGTGTTCCCAAGACTTTAGGAATAAACACAGCTGAAAATGCCAACTGTCTGAATGGGAAGAAAGTTCTTTCTGCACCCACCTTGGTGCACTGGGGGTCAGATACAACCTTAGAGCAGGTTCCTGGAGTTTCTACAACTGATACATCAGGTATTTCTCTGTGTCAGAGAAGTTTAATAGCGATTTTAAAAATAAATTTTACAAAAGTAAATAGGTAACAGCCAAACTGTGGAGAACCACTCTTCAGATATTCAACACAGCAGAAAATTCAGTGTCTGGGGTTTTTTCTGAGTGTAGAGAAAAGAAGAGAAGTGTTCATTACTTATTTATGAGTCAATGCATGCAAAAGCATCCCCAAGTCCAAAACTCTAAAACTTTTGAGTGTGATAGACATATTTTTCTCAAAGGAAATAAAGAAGCACTTTATCCAATGCTGGTTTTTGGGAAAGCAGAAAAAATATTTTCTTCTAGCACATGCTACAGTCAGGCATGTACAGCAAAGTTACTCCTTCAGAAAAATACTGTAAATCTGGAACTTACAGGGGTCATATTAAAAAAGAAATGTTCATGGTGCATAAATGAAAATCATGAGGAAAAAAAAAAAAGCAGCAAAAGGAGCAAATCAACATTGCAGCACCCAGCTTAAACTTCCTGCCTTGAAGGAAGAAAAATATCCAAGGCACACCATTTCCAAAAATCTGATACAAACAAAGCAATTAATAAGCTTGGTTTGCCACCTGCACAGGCATTTTGGTGTCAGAGGGCTGAGCACGAGGAGCCTGCCTGTCGGAGCATCCCTGCAGTCACAGCCACGCCACAGCTCCTCTAAGGAGGACACAGAGCACTCAGCAACCGACCCAACCTGCTCAGGTGGTGAAAAGTATGTGACTCCCTCTCTTATAAATAATTAAGCCACCTACAAATTAGAGAAAATCAGTGGTGTGCAAGCAGTGACGACTGTCAAGTCTGGTTCTGCTTTAGAAACAGCGCAGGGCAAGGCAAACAAAGCCCAGTTTCTTAATAATCCCAGCAGAGACACCACACCTGCCAATTGTCTGCATAACCCACTTTGGGCTCGACCTGCAGGAGATCTATCAGTGGGGATCATCTCCAGGACTTGTTCCCCAAGCTACACAAATCACCAGGAGGGGTGGCCTGGCCGGTGGGGACTGAGTGGATCTTCCTGCTGAGCAGGAGACACAAGTCTGGATCTTCCCTCTGGTTGTAACCAAGGGGAGGGCTGGGAGGATAATTCCAGCCTGGCTGGGAAGAGCAGGAAATGATCCCTTGCACTGCTCTGGAGCACCCCCTGGTAGCCACACAACACCCCAGGAATGCCACCAGCCATCCCTGCCTCCAGGCCAGGAGCAAGGAGGGAGAACGCGCTGGCAGAACTGAAGTTCACTTGGAAGGAGGGAATATTTAATATATTCTACGTGCAGCTGAAGGTAAAATGGGTTAGTTAAAGGCCTTGCTCTTACTGTGCCTCCACACAAGCAGCATTCCTGCTGTGGGCTGCACGTGTTTGGGTGCTGAGCATCAACATGACACCAACACTGACAGACACCAACACAGTGATGGCAGCTTTCATGTGATCCTAGTTATTTATCAGCTGAACATCTGAAATGTTTACAGTAACACACAGAGAGCTGGCAGAGTACCTCCTTTCCATCGGGAGATTACCAAAACCCACGGATTTTAAATACTCAGAAGGTAAAAAAACATTTAGCAGCTTGAGGTAGTACTATGCTCTAACAAGAAAAAGAAACAGCTTTATGGTAACAGAACTTCTGAACCTGGAATGAGCACAAAAGTTCTGGTGAGAAGAGAAGAACCCAGCAGTATCAGACAAGGCCACATTAGAAGAAATACTCAGTGACAGCCAGGAGAGGAATGGCATGAGCAGAAAGGAGTCAGTGCCCTCGGTACCTGCAGACATAAGAACGTTTGTACCTCTCACCAACACTGCTTCTTCTACACTTTTATCACCAAACCACTAAACAACAACCCCTTTTAAAAAAAAATAACGCCAATAGACAATCCTAATACACCAAATTCTCTGAGAATGCCAAAAATACAGAGACTTGGGAAACATTCTATTTGGAAATATTCTATTTTTGTGCCTCTGGGTCTGAAAGAATGGAGTTAGAGAGTTCTTTCTTCCCTGGAGCCAAATTTACATAAGCATGTAGCTATTGCTAAATAACCTTTGCATTAGAGACAGCTCAGGGAAATGCCTCGTTCTTAAGACTCTCGAGTTTCATCAGATCACTGTGTAGGGCGTTTTATTTTTTTTAATTATTACTCACACTTGTATACTGAATCACTTATAAAACAAATAAGGTTTAATAAGTTTCAATGCCCAAGGCTACCTCAACGTGATGACATCTCTGTCACGCAAGAACTGGGAGTGCTGCGCCCTGCAGCGATAACTAAAAAGCTGTTTGATATAATGGCAGGTTTAAAAGCAAACCTCCAGACCAAGAGAATTTAAAATGCAGATTCTTGAAACAGGCTAGAAGTTTCCTTCAAGTAAACGAATGTTATAAAAAAGTAGCAATTGCTTAATAATCCAACATTTTCAGTCCTCCAAATGCCAAGGGACAGGAGTAGGGAAGTGAATTAAATGCCATAGCGCAACCGAGGTTTCAACAAAGGAGGGCAGTTTGAAACACTGAAATTTGAAACAGAGTCACAGAGGTGCCTGCTGGTGCCCCCCATTGGGAAATGGTGAGTTACTGAGGACAGGAGCAGAGAGCCACAGGCCCCAGTGCAATTACAATATGCAAGGCGGGGTGCGTGTTCCGACAGGAGCCGCGGAACGGCCGGACTCGTTCTGCACACAGCGCTGGGTGAGATGAAACAGCAGCACACACCTGATCAGCCAGGCTCACGGCCACAGAGAGGCAGATCAAAGTCAGCCTCGGCCAACTACTCACTGCGTCCCTGACTTGCAGTTTCACTTCATTGAAATGCAGGAGTTTCGTGTCTTTTCCGAGCGATTTTTCCATGCCAGCCTCGCTCGGAGCCGCTCGGTAAATGCAGACCAGAAGCGGCACAAAATCCTAACCCAACCCAAACCCACCCTGCTCAGGGCAGCCTCACTCTGCTGTGATGTGGAGAGACTTTTTATCCCCACTCTGGTGGGCTACATCATTCCCAAAACCTGCACAATCCCTTGCTATACTGACCAGAACTGAAAAATGGTCTTTTTTCTCCTGCTTGTTCAAAGATGGCCAAGCAGCAGCAGTTTGACTCTTAAAATAACAAAGTGCTGGAGGAATCCAAGAGCAAAGAATTCTGAAGCTCGTTGCCACAATTTTTAGTTGCCCCTCATGAGGATGTGCTCTGCTTTACACATTTAGTGATTACTTGTTAAAATATATTGTATTTATTTATAGAATAAATAGACTATATTATATAGAATAGACTATATTATATACTGCATGAAGTATAGAATTATTTCTAGAAGTATATATTATTTATAGAACAAATAGACTTATTTATAGAATAAATAGACTACATTATATACTGCATGAAGTTAGAATCTTGCATGTTAAATACAAGTGTTTGCTTATTTTGAACATTTATTTTCAGGTGGTATTTTTGACAACATAGTGTTGCTCCAAGTGTGAAACAAAATTCTTAATATTAAAATACTAAGAATATATGTAATTATATATAAATATGATATTTATAACATTTAACACTTGAAATAAATATTTCCTGCTCTCCTTGAGCACCTACATGCATACACACACCATTCTGAAAACCTTTACTCCCTAATGATACAGCTCATTGTAGTGACTGAAAGGAGAAATTGAAGACTAAATGCAAGACAAGGCTTTACAAATCTGCCCATATCTACCAATTGGAGCAGGAATTATGAGCTGTGGAGAAGAAAAAAAAAAAAAAATCCCAGAAAAGCAAAGCAGCAGGCTCTGCTCCCAGGTCTATTGTATCACATTCTGGTTTCGATTCTACTTGTTGAGTATTCACCTGTTTCGCTTAGTGAGCACTAATGAACAGGTGGATGGAGCCAAAGCCAAACTCAAAGGAATTATGACAAAACACTAATGCATTATACATCCTGCAGGTCTCATCATGCCTGGGAATGGCAAACAGTCAGTCTCCCTTTCCAGATCTGACAATAAAATGATGAAACATCATTCTGTCTTTTGAAACGCTGCAATGCACACAAATAACGCTTCCTCCTGCTTAAGCAGCAGGTCCTCAGTTATTCTAAATATAGATCATTTCTTCTCCCTTCTGATTTGGAAGAGCTCGAGAGGAAAAAGAAACAACTCAAAAAAAAAACCCCACACACTTGCTCCAGACCTTTGCTTTGATGTTTAGTACCACACTGCACACAAGTCCTCTTAGTGACTGGTTAAGAAGAGTAGCAAATTTATGCAAATTATCAAAACTTGTACAAACACCAGCAAATCCTCAAACCTGTGCAACTGCAAAGGGCTCATGGATCTGTCTTCACCTGCACTGCCTTGGTCAACAACCAAACCAAGAAGGAACAACAATCCCTCCCCCCTCACAAACCCATTCTGCCCAAATATATTCGGACATCAAAACTGGCACAGACACCAGAAGTGTCACCCCAGGATATCAAAACACACCCCAGCACTTTTAAGGGTGTAAAACTACACTAAAGCTTTTATAAATGGCCCTTTTTAGGATGTACAAGAGGAGTAGTGCCCTGGCACAGCAGTTCAGGTACTGCAGATTTTTTCCCCGTGCACAGTACACCAATTTTAAAACCCAAAGTAAGAATTCAGCTCTTTTGAGTCACACACCATTATCAATTCACAAAGAAAGGCCACTCAACAAAAAATTCATTCAGATTAGCAAACAAACTCCAACTTACTGAAACAACTGCTACTTTGAGAGTTATTTATGAGTAGCTGTACTGGCAATTTCACTTTCATTTGGGGATGACAAAAAAAAAGAAAATAGACATGCATGGGAAGTTATATTGTTCAAGATGACAAAAAAAAGAAAATACACATGCATGGGAAGTTATATTGTTCAAACTGCTGTGGAGGAAATTCTCCTTTTTTTATTGCCAGGAACCCCTCTGTCCATTTGCTGTCAAGGGCCTCCTGCAGCAGTATAGGATGGCCATAAAACCACCTGTCTATCTTTTAAGGGAAAAGCAGTATTTACCAGGGCCTGGAGCATGCCATTCACAATGACAGTGCCCTCCATGGTCTGGAAGGAGGATTTGGATAACATGGAGAGCACCCAGTCCAGGAAATCTGCCATCCTGCTTTGCTTGACATCAGGGCGGACAATAAACCTGTCACAGAAAAAAAAAGAAAAACATTGCAGCCATTGACTTCATGACACCCAGTGAAAAATGACTTTTCTTCCTATCCAAACTGGTTCTAGCTCCTGGAAACAATTCTTCAATGTGCCTTTCCCCAAATCACTGAGGGTGGCACACTCCAAACCATCCTATGTTTAGCCCAGCTGTTTCTGAGCAAGACTCTGACCTGGAACTTTGTTTTCACTTCAAACCCAGCTAAAAACTTGGGTTCTAGAAATTTCTTACCTTAATTATAAAGCAACAAAATTTCCAAAGCTTTTAAGAAATTATTTCTATTAGAATTAGTGAAAGGCTGAAACAAACAGGAGGATTCTGCACCTCTCTCACCAAAACCAGCCATTCTGCAAATCTGAAAATCAGTGGTTATTTTGCACTGTCTGTCAGATGTCAGGCCCAGAAAAAGCAACCAGCAGGGCTACATTTGGGGTTCCAGATATTTGAAAAGGTCAAGTACCTGTTATTAACACACTAGATGGTTGAAAAGATGTGTTTTTAGCCATCTTAGAAAAGGGAAAAGATGACTTTCATGGCTAAACTATCATAAACCTACTCTCAGCCCTACCCTGAACAGCCAAGCTGCAGTCAGGGCATCACTTCAGTGTCCTGGCACCCACAAACCAGGTCCTGCTGCAGCAGCAATTCAGACTACGTTTGTTCTCAACTCACCCAGTGGAAACAAGGCACATGGGGAGTTGTGCCCACCCAGAACAACTCACAGAATTCAAAGAGAATGTCCCCCAGAGCCAGGACCTGGATCCTTCCTGCCCCTACAGATAGCTGGGGAACAGCCCCAAGAGCTGACTGGGAGTATTAAATATAATAAATAAAACAGCTCAGCAGTGAACTGCTGAGGCTTCCCAGCCAGTCCCTGTGGTGCTCAGCAGCAGAGCAATGAGGACTTGGGGGGAGCTGCAGCAGGGTTGGTTTGGGTGGAAGGATGAGGCTGCCTCTGGCCCAAGGGCACATGTGAGAGAAGTGACCTGTGAAGTGGCTGAGCTGGTTCCTAGACCCTTCCTCAGCCCCAAGGAGTTTAAATCTTTCTTTCCCAAAGGAGTGCCCTAACCTCCAGACTAAGACCAGGATAAGGATCAGCCTCATCTCCTCCTACTGCAGCCACTCACTGAGCAGGCAGAAAGGAGAATTTATGAAATATACTCCAGCTCCTTTGCCCTGTGAGAAGCAGCTCACTTTGGAAAACAGGAGGTCCCCAATCCTGATGTTTCTAAACTTCACTTGAAATTCATCAACTCCCTGGAGCACAAAGCAGGGACTTTCTCTTGCTCCCCAGGGACTTTCCCAGAGCCTGCTACAGAGTCAGACTCCTGTATCTTATCTGCCCATCTGTCCCAGGACCGTTGTGCTCTGCCCACCCAAGTATCAGGGTGGGTGGCACACAAACCTCATGTCAGAATGATTATGCTCAGAACTGGCTTTGGGGATGTGAGAACAGGGAAAGGCCTTGGAGCCAGCCTTTCTAACTTCTTCAATCATCAGGCTGTTTTGAAAATGGTGTTTTTATGAAACTAAATAATTTTAAATCCACTATACAGCACCATTACAGCCTGGCAGAGCTGGTACTAGAACCAGCCTAATGTATTCTATCCCCTATTTGTGCTGAACACACGCTCCTAATTAAAATTAATCAGCGCCCTCTGCTGAGCACAGGCTGAAGTGCAGAGCTGGGGCTTTTACTGCTTTAAAAAGGAAAAAAAACCCAAATCAGTCACAACCTGAGCTGACTTTCACTGAAATGTCCAGGAATGTGGACTGGAATAGATACTGAAACAAGAGACACGTGTGTACTATCCCTACTTAATTTATTATTCTGTAATTTAATTTTTTTATCTTATTATTTTATTATTATTATTTCATAATTTATTATTTTGTAATTTATTTTCACATGCAGAGGAAGCAGTATTCCCAACAAACACTGCTGTATCCAATTCAAGCAATATTAATATCCCACAGACAACTGGCAACTTCCAGCCCTCCCAACCCTGCCATGTCAGATTAAGAAACAGCAGGAGGAATGGGAGCCTTTCTGCCAAGATGCACAAAAGGGACTTACTTGGACACCAGCACAGCAGCTGCATCCCGAGCCTTGTCACTGACAACCAGGTAACACTGAAGGGAAAAGAAACCTGACTGTAAAACAATTCATAACTGGAGATAGAAAACCAACTATGTGACAGCTCTACTGAATACTCACATGACAAATATTATGATGATCACACACATTATGACATTATTATGGTTACAAACTCAGCTTAAAGATAGTAGAAAGTTTATTTTTCTATTTAACAAACTGTATCTGAGGCAGAGTCTCCCTCTGTGTGCCTTTCAAAGCAGGTTTATTAGTGAAGGTTCATTTGCTGAAGCCTTAACTCACAGACACATTGGCCTGTAAGCAGAAAGCCCCTTAGTGCTGCAAGTGTCAAAAGCCTGAGCTCTTGGGGACCTGTGGGGAAGGGAGGGTGCTTTATTTCTATCTCAAAAGCATGACAAATCAGCCACCTGGGCTGACACCCTCTGGAACTTCATGTACTTGTTTAAAAATCTTCACACAGCCACAGCCTCCAAAGTTGCTCACTCTGATCAAATGCTGATTTTCTCTAGAAATCCTCAGATTTGGCTTTCAGAGAAGCTCTCTGGCACTTGCATGTGTTGAAAGCCTCTAACATATTCAAAGGCAGGGGTTCACCTCAGATAAAATAGTTTATTACACCAGGGGAAACAAGTTCCAGCCTCACCTGACTCTAAAGCAGCAATCAACAGATTGAAGATCCAGAAGTACAAAAAAATCCCTTACAGATTAGACACAAAAATACAGACTTAAATCACATGCAGAAAAGAATCTCATTGAGGAACATACAGCACACATGAATATTTATCACACAGTGAGTGGCTGAGCCAAAGCTGGCAGGTGTGGAAGCACTGCAGGGTGTGCTCCCCTCACCTTGGCTATGTCCAGGATGCGATCCATGGTTGGCTGCCGAGCCTGCCCCTCCAGGGAAACGAGGCTCCCATCAAAACGGGCCAGGTCAAAAGGGATCAGGCAGATCATGGACAGCCACAACAGGAGCATGTAGCGAGTTTCCCACGTCTGCAAAGGAATAGAAAGATATTTTTGCCCCAGACAAAGAAGAGGAATGATGAGGAGAATTATATCAGAAGGCTAATTAATTAGCATATCATATTATATTATATTGTATTATATTATACTATATTATATTATACTATACTGTATTATATTATACTATACTGTATTATACTATACTATATTATACTGTATTATACTATGTCATATTATATCATCTATTATATTACATCATATTACATCATATTATATTATATTGTATTGTATTATATTATACTATATTATACTATACTGTATTACATTATACTATACTGTATTATTCTATACTATATTATACTGTATTATTCTATACTATATTATATCATCTATTATATTACATCATATTACATCATATAACATTACATTATATTATTCTATATTTTATTATATTATATATATTATTATATTATATACTATATTATATATATTATATATGTATCATTATGTTATTCTATATTATATTACATTATTTTATTCTATACTATATTATATATATAATATAATATATATTATATATTATATATTATATATTATTATATATTATTATATATTATATTTTATATATTATATATGTATAATTATGTTATTCTATACTATATTATTTTATTCTATACTATATTATATTATTTTATTCTGTACTATATTATATTACATCTATTATTTTATTCTATACTATATTATATTATATTACATCTAAACTGAATCTGCCAAGCACTCAACTGCACAGAATTTTGTCACTGGCAGCTGACAGACCTAACACACACACCTGGATTTAACTGGTGAGTGAATTAAAACACACTAGAATTCAATTACTAATTTTCTTCAGGTAAACTATCTTTTGCAATGTATTTTACTTGTGAAAAACACAGGTGCAGCAAATGAGGTAATAATTGGGGTTTTTTTCTCTGAGGTTCAGAGAATGTGAAATTGAGAAATATTCTTAGGAAGAATTGTGCCTTGCTTTTCTCTGTGAGGAGAAATGTGGCAACAAGAATAGTAAAACAAAGGTTTTTTACTTCATTTTCATTTCAACATGAATTGCCAAGAGCACAAACTACCCCCTGGCTCCAAGGAACTTTCAAAGATGAGCAAGAAGAAACTCCCGATGTGAGTGCCCTGAAACTCCAGAGGAGACAGAGCTGCAAGGGATCCCAAACAGCAAAACTGTAACAAAATTAATGGATCCTCCCCCCAGTCCCAAATCTAGGCAACCTTGTTTCCTTCCAAAGGCAAACTGCACCTTCCCATTTTCCTGTTTTTCCTTTCCCACTCACAAATAAAACAGATGTTTTTCTCCTTAATTTCTTATGTGTAGCTTTCATGGGTTTATTGCAATAACTTCTGAAGAAATAAGGAAGTTTTTCAAGATTTAAAGCTGTACACCTGCAGCAGCAAAGTGTCAGAATGGATGTTTATTTAAAAAAAGCTTTAATTTAGAGCAGCAATACAATTGTCTTCAAACCCATGATTTTTGTTACTTATAATTGATAATCTCTCTTAAAATTCATCTCTCTTAAACAGGTCTCTGGGATTCTTCTTTTCCCTTATTTAAAAACCTAAGAATATCCAGTATCCTGGAGTCAGACTGGAGTATTTTTCAGTCACTCATTTTAGAGATTCAATACCTTTCACTGCCCTTCTTCTTACTCTTGTTACAATCACTTTGTTCCTTACATGAGTGCTTAAAGATTCTACTTGCACCTCTACTGCCACTGCTTCTAAATCCTTGGAACAAATCCCATGAAAGAACACCAAAACCTCTCCTTGGGGAGGATATTTCTCCTGTGACAAGATGATGGTTTTCACATTAAATCCAGGTGTTAACACCAGACAGGGTCTGTCAGTGCTTTATCTGCTTTTTCCCAATTTTTTCCTGCAGTTTTTTTCAAACAGAGACATAAAATTTGAACAAAAAGAACAGCAAGTGCTCACCTCAGGGTCTCTTGGGTTCTGCTTTGCAAGCATATCCAAAACAGGCTGCAGGTCTCTGACTTCATGAGGGAACAAGGGCAGGAAACGTTTGTAGCCTCTCACCTAAAGCAGAAAGTTCCAGAATTCAGAATTTCAGAACCCATCCAGCACCAGCACACACTGAGGGGAAAGGAAAGACCCTTGGAGGAATTTCTTGATTAGGATCCTCATGTCATAAGGAGAGTAAGTCTGCAATCAAAGTCTTAAAGACCTTGTGATATTTAACTTTGTGTTTTATTGTGATATATAACTTTGTGTTTTTACAAAATTATTAAGAATTCATGGCATGATAATTAACTTTTAAACAAAGGACATCTGGAGATTGTCCAGTGCAGCCCTCCTGGTAAAGCAGGGTCACCAGCAGAGTGCCCAGGACCACATCATGGGGTGTCCTGTATCCCAAGGATGGAGACCCCACCACCTCTCTGAGCCACCTGTCCCAGGCTCAGCCCTTACAGCCCAAAAATATTTTCCTGTGCTCAAATTTTCATTACACTTTAATTTTCAACGTTATAACTCATGTTTTATCACTCAGTATCTCCATGTCTGCAATTTCTTTTGCATTCAAATCTGGATTTTTACTAATCTGGATCATTAAATAACATCAGCTGTCATGAAAATGGGAAAGAAGAGAACTAATCTTTCACAGTGCAGTTTAAAATATTTACTCATATTCAACACTTATTTATTTTAATATTTTTGAAAATAACAAAGAAAATAATTGTAACTTACAAATTTCAGTTAAAGAACATTAAATTTAGGAATTTTTTACCTTTGTAATGATGTAGAGAAATTTAAAAGCCAGGTGAACTAGTGGGGGAGGAGATCCACTGTCCCATACTATCTCCAACAAGGAATTCATCATCCCCTCTAGTGAAAGGAGAGAAAACCCAGTGAGATTACATGCAGGTCACAGAGTTTCTTGTACTTCTGACAGAACAGAGTGAGACAACAATTATAAAATGGAAGTACTATCAGCCACAGCAATCCTGTACTGCAAACTCAGATCTTCCAGAGTCACAGATTTTTAAGTATAGACACAAAAATTATTTAAGGCTGACATTCCTACCTAAGTGGTGATCCAAAAGGTGAGGCTGCTCCTGGTACTTGTCCATTATACCTGAAAATAAAAAGATATCTGTAATAAACTACTCCAAGGCTCTTCTAGACCTTAACTGTGAGATATCCTCTGATTCTGAACAGTTCTAGTTTAAGATTCCTGCATCCCTGAGCTGCCAGCACCTGTAAGCAAGGTCACAAAGTTGGAAAATCATTGAGTGGATGGAGCTTGGAGCAACCTGGGATAGTGGAAGGTCTCCCTGCCCATGAAGTCCCTTCCACCACAGAGCAGTTTATAATTCCAAGCAACAGCTCAAGCACAAGCTGTCCCCTCACACTGCACTCATTTACCTCCACTGAGCCACCAACCCACCCCAGGAGCCTCCCCAGTTTCCTTGGACAAACCTCCCACAAGCAACACTTGGCAATGAGGGTGCTCCTCACAATCCTCAGAGCTGCTTTCTTATTTTGAAATAGAATACAGGGAATTGTTCAGCAAAGAACAAAGAATCCTTAACAAATTTTAACCTCAACAAACAAACTGCAGCTCTTACCACTGTGCTCCTCAAAACTGTTCACATCCCTTACTCTGTTTTGCTGCCAGTAACACAGTGTCTCCTTTTGGATACTGACTCAAGAAAAGACACATTGCAATTAAGTATTGGGGAAAAAAAAAAAGAACAACTTTTCAGAGCTTTCAGACACAAAAGCTTTTCAATTTAAACCCAGAATCAATAAAAAGCAGCTACAGAAATGAAAATTGGATTCCTAAGAAGATCATTAAGTGATCCAGTGTGGCACTGGAGATCACCTGGCTCATTTTAGCTCTTTGGTCAGAAAACAGCTTTTGAATTAGAAAACCAAAACCTCCTTAACCTCCCCTTTTCTGTATTTCTCTCACAAACCACTTTGCTCTCTGTCCTTTTTCTCTGCTTGACACATGAACATTTACATTGAAGACATGACACAAAGCCAACAGTGCTGCAGTTGACCAGTGGATGCCACTGCACCACCACTTTCAGACCAACAACAGCATCCTTGTGCAATTCCACTGGGACACCAGAACAGCATCCAGAGGGAAACCTGAGCTCCCAATCATCCCTGACTTCCCACCTGAATTAATGCTGACACAAACAGCACAACCAGTGAGCACAAAAAGTGGAATTGAGGAGCAAATTCTTTTCCCAGGTCACAGCCTGGCAAAGATAAAATAAAACCCCAAATAAAGAAGCTGAAGAGAATGAACCTAAACCAGATGCTCTAAAACTATTATTTCAAAAAAGATCTTCCTATCTTTTCCTACAAAATTGTAGTTGCAGATTAAACTGTTTCCCAAACTTCTGTTTCTAATGGTTCATCACAAAATGAGCATCATGAGTTTTTCTGAATGCTTTGGGAATTTTCATTAAAACCCTCTGGAAGAGGTGATCACTGCATTCCCTGCTCCCAGATAAAAGCCATGTGTCCCCAAGTGTCAGTGTTCTAACCCACACACTGAGCCTCGTGGTAGGTTGGGGACATTTTGTCCCAGAAGGATCAATGACACCTGAGCACACTAAATATTATAACCCAATACTGAACCACAACATCTTTTTTAAGTCTATTTAGCTTATATTTACTGGGCAATGATACACAGGCAGAAAGCTCATAAATAGAATTGAAATGCAAAGAAAAACTCCACATGATGTGACAAACAGAGAGGCACAGCAAGGTGATTTTTCCAGCAATGGTTTTTCCTGTCCCACTGACATCTGACATTTCCTCTGGGATGCTGAACAAGCTCAGCAATGAGAGTTCCTTCTGTCTGAGCAGTTTTATGTCCATCATTTAGATGGAACAGTCAGTTCAGCCAACCACAATAATGCTACTGAGAAACTTCTGCAGGGTCAGATCTCCAAATCTGGGGGGTTCTGCTTTATTGTTTGCCCACCTCATTTCTTGTTGTCAAAACCAAAGATGCTGTGTCAAAATTTTGACTGTGAGTTTTGCAATTTCTCCATCCTTCACAAAAATCCCTGCAAAATTCAGTTTGCAAATACACGAAGCACTGAATGAACTTTTGCAAATCACCTCACCAGAATATTGACCCAACACACAGATGTGCCTTGAAACAGGCTGGTCACCCATGACACTGCTCCATGCACCTCACTGTGGCCCTTCCACATTCAGCTGAGGCCCAGGGCCAGGACAGCTTTCCTTAGGTGGCACAAAACTCAAACCAAGTTACCTCCACTTGGTAAAACAAGCATGATCTCTATGGATGCTGCCATTCTTCACATTTCCCATGAAATGAAAAGGTAAAGAGGAAATTGACACTTTAAAGCACAAAATGGGTGTGTTCCAATGAGTAACAGAGTGGCTTTATTCGACAGACGTACAAACTTTTAACTAAATTATGGCCTGAATTTGAACAGGAAACTGAAGTCAGAATTCAGATTTCTGAATCAGGAATCTAAGACCTAAGTTTTCATTTACAGTAGTTAAATACCAGGTAATAAAAGAATATCTATATGGAAAACAAAATGAGCACAAAACCACATCTGAATTACCTGTTGATAAAGTTCCAGCATTATCACTGACCCAAAAATTAACGGTTTGCTCCCTTCTTGGTATTCAGCAGTAACAAAATGAATCATACACAATAAAATGTTTGTATCACGCAGTAGCAGGACCACTCCCTTTGGCTGCCGTGCTCACCTATGAAGCGCTCCACGGCCATTTCCCTCGTCACCAGCTCCCCGAAGACCTCCCGCAGGTTCCCGATGAGTTCCGCGACCTCGCGGCTCTCGGTGAAGCTGTCCAGGATGTTCCTGGCGCTGATGGCAGCCGGTTCCTCGCCCTCCTCCGGCTCCCGCCCCGCTCCGTCCATGGTCCGGGCCCGGCGCTGGCAGTGACAGAGGAAGGGTCGGTTCCGCCCCGCTCAGGGCGCGGGCAGGGCCGGTCCCGCCGCCCCGCTCACCCCGCCCGGCCCCGCCATGCGGCCACCGCGCCCCTCCCGCGGCCCCTCCCGCGGCCCCTCCCGGCCCTACCGGCCTCCGCCGCCGGCCCGCACCGCGGGGCTCCCGGAGCCGCCGCCCTCGCCCCTCCGGCCCGGCGCTGCGAGCACCCGGGACAAGCGATAACCGGGACAAGCGAACACGCGGGACAAGCGGGCACCGCCGCCCCGGGCCCGCCCCGCGCCGCCGCCGCCGCCCAGCTACGGGCCGCCAGGAGGGACCAAAGGCGGCGGCACCGCCTCCGAGCGCGGGCCCGGCCCCTCCGCGGGGCGGGGGGGAGATGAGGGGACACGCCCTGGGGACACACACACCGGGGATGGGGACATCCACCCTGGGGACACACACACCGGGGATGGGGACACACACCCTGGGGACACACACACCGGGGGTGGGGACACGCACCCTGGGGACACACACACCGGGGATGGGGACATCCACCCTGGGGACACGCACACCGGGGATGGGGACACCCACCCTGGGGACACGCACACCGGGGGTGGGGGCATCCAGTTTGGGAATACCCACCGGAGACGGTGACACCCACCCTGGGCACAGGAACCCCTACTGGGGAAGGGGACATCCAGCTTGGGAACACCCACCGGGGACAGTGACACCCACCCTGGGGACACCTATCAGACACAGGAACCCCTACTGGGGATAGAGACATCCAGCTTGGGAACACCCACACTGGGGACACCCACCCGGGGATGGGGACACCCACCCTGGGAACACACACACCGGGGATGGAGACATCCAGTTTGGGAATACCCACCGGGGACGGTGACACCCACCCTGGGGACACCCACCCTGGGGACACCCACCGGAGACGGGAACACCTACTGGGGATGGAGACACCCACCGGGGGACACCCTCTGGGGGTGGGGACATCCAGTTTGAGAATACCCACCGGGAACGGTGACACCCACCCTGGGGACAGGAATCCCTACTGGGCAAGGGGACATCCAGCTTGGGAACACCCACCGGGAACGGTGACACCCACCCTGGGAACAGGAATCCCTACTGGGGATAGGGACATCCAGCTTGGGAACACCCACACTGGGGACACCCACCCGGGGGGCAGGAACACCCACTGGGGATGGGGACATCCAGCCAAGGGACACCCGGTGGAAACAAGAAGACGTACTGGAGATGGGGACACAACCCCAGGGACACCCACCCGGGATGGGAACATTAGGCTGGAGATGGGGATACCAACCCTGAGGACACCAACTCTGGGGTCCTGGTGATGGGACAGGGATGGGACAAGGATGGGGACACGGGCATGGGCACCCAAGCACTGGGTGAGGATGGAGATAGGGACCCTCAGGTAAGGGAACAGGGATGGGGACCTGGGCACAGGGACCCCAGGGGCAAAGGACAAGGATGGGGACAAGCACACAAGGTGTGTGGGAGACAGCTGGATGGAGCTGGTATCCATGAGCTCCATTCCTCACCCAACCCACAGCAGACCCTGCATTGCATGGTTAATTAATATCACCACACATCATCCAAACCTCACACAGTTCTGGAAACAACACTGGAGCCCTACAGCCCCACTGATTGTACAGGAAATTCAAAGGATGTCACAGCAGCTGAGTTGCTCTTTCCTGCTATCCAGCAGCTCCATCCACACCCAAATATTTTATTTTCAGGCTCAAATTCATTCCATTAAACCACTGTCACAAACCAGATGTACACTGAACAGGGTTTCTGCAGGGCAAGTGTTTTATTTGAGAAGAAATTTAAGTTCACAAGTAGTTCCCAGTGTGATACAGGTTGGTTTGTTCACATCCATAAACACCAGTGCACATGCACTTTGCTCAGACCTAGATCTTCCAGCCATCAGCTACAATCCCAAACTCTACTGTTCCACTTTTCCACTGCTTTAGTTCTACTTTTCCACTGCTTTAGTTCTTTCCCACTCTTTTAGTTCTGTTAAGTTTTATAACCAACCCCTGATTCAAAGGAAGCAAAACTTTTTCACTATTTGTATCACATTTACAGAGAGCAAAGTGCATTGTTTTAAACCAATTACAACATCAAATTTTAAACTTAATTAAATCTTTATAGCACAACCATTTAAAGTTAAGAAAAGTCTAAATATACTGAGCAATTTTGAATATAATACTTTAGTATTAGTCATGCCAACCATCTGAAGTCTGAATTCTCGGTCATTCTCACCCAAATCTTCTAATTCATATTTGTGGGACTGCACTTACTTTTAATCTCCTTGCTACTTCCATTAAAATCCTCCAGAGTCACTGATGTACCCTAGCTCAGATTGTGCACCAGTATCTTTACTGAACACTTTTCTCCCCAAATTCCCACTGCCTGTGTTTTCTGTAAAAATAAAGCAGTAAGGAACAATGAAACCCCTTAGGAATCCACCAGATTTGACACTGTTCCTTCCATAACCCAGTGGTGGCACAACAGACCAGCTTTGCCCACTGCACTCGTTTTCTAAAACTGAAAATACATCAAGCACCAACCAACCCAGCAGCCACAGGTGCTTCCTCTCACCCAGCCACCTCCCTCCTACATTTTGCTCTGTTTTCACAAAATTATTTAAATATGTTATTATTGTAGTACAACACACTGAAATATGACAGTAAAATTATTAAATCCTATTATCAACTTTGAGTGGTAATAACCTACTTCTGACTGTACAGTTAATTACCAAGGAACTACACATCCTTCCAGAAAATACCACTGGAATTTCAGTTCTTCTAGGAAGGGAAAAATGAAAGTGAGTAAATTACATTAAATTAAAATAAATATTAGAAATATTATTAATTACATCTGTTTGCCAAATGCAGCCAAAGGGCCTTGTCTGCTCATTAACTTCAACAGAGAATGTTTTCAGATTCACAGAATCTGACTGAAATTTTGGATTAGGACATTTGACAAGCAAAAGGAAAGGAAAGGGAAACAGAAGACCATGGAAACATTCATGGGGAAAGGGCTGGGAACAGACAGAAAACTAAAGCAGAACTAACAGGGGCAGACACAAGAACAGGACCAGGTGTGGGAGCAGAGCACAGAGGTGAGAGAGGAGCAGGGGCAGGCTGCCTGTGCTGCTTTCCAGGCCACTGCAGCCTTGCCAAACAGTGCAGCCCTTTCCTCCAGCAGGGAGGAATCTGTGCAGGGAAACCAGTGCCCAAGTTAAAGATTACACAATTGCTTTTAGTTAGTGAGGCTCAAAGTGCATTAAACCTTCCCCATATCAGGTGTTTTATCACCAATTCTGAGTTTGTGGTACTGGGGATGAGCAGGAGCTGCTCATTCCTAGGGGACTGTGTCACAATTTCTCAAATGTACCTGGTTACTTGAGAAGTTTCCTCATCATGTTTAGGGTAGAGCCCCTGTACCCTGTCCCAAAATGGTTCCAGTGGTTGATGTAATTAAAGAGCTGATACAACTTGTTCCGTTTCTCAAACCCTGGAGCCTTGGGTATTTTACTGTGATAGGCAGAGAAAAAAGAGCTGCTGAAGCCCCCAAACATCCCAGCAATGGCCAGCTCAAATTCTGAGTGGCCATAGAAGCAGGCAGGGTCAAATATAATCGGCCCAGAGTCATCCTCAGCCACATTCCCTGCCCACAGGTCCCCGTGCAGGAGAGCAGGAACAATTTCCACATCACAGAACATTTCAGGAATCTTTGGCTGAAAAAAGCATAAACAGACATTAACAATTAAAGAGTTTTGAAGAAAATAATAAATAAAATACTGTAGCATGTTAGAGCCTGAGGTGGCCAAATGCTGCCTGTGTTCAGCCCTCATGGACATTGATGTCAACAAGAACAAGCCAGTGAAAAATGTTCTGGATTGTTCTTGACAGAGTTCAGCAAAGCATTTAATTCACAGTCTGGTATCAATACCTGGTACTGATGGATTGTTTCTAGACATGGATACTGCTGGCTGTCATGAAAAATATAAAATAATTTCATTTAAACTAAAAAGTTCCAATGGCAAAAAGGACTGCAGTAAGCATCTGGACCAATGAACAGAAGAGAGGGGGAACATCCCTGGTGTTCCCTGAGTGCTGCATGGAACATGGCCTGAACCAGCCTCACCCTGGGCAGATAAAGTACAACTCTGTCCAGGCAGCAGAATTTCACCCACTTCACAACACCAAGCTCTTAGGAATTACCATATTACTGTTATTACTAGCTGTATTCTTAGAAAGAAAGGTTAATTCTGATTACAAGGGGGTTTTTTCCACTATCTATAAAATGGAAAGAGTCACAGGAATTCTGTTCAGCCAACAGTGTTGCTGGACCCACTGTGAACCCTGCTCTTCGTTCCAAGCTGGGTAAATCCCTTACAAGACACCTTTACAATCCCACTGAAACACATTTTCTGAAATTCTAGAAAACAGATTTAAAACATGGTTCATACTTTTAGCTGTGACCAGAGCTCTCTGGCTTCTCTGTCTCCATAATCCTTTTCAATGAGATCCAGCTGAGCCTGGAGCCGGTGGCGGATGAAGAAGGATGGCCAGTCACTGTGCCACTCATTCACCTGGAAAGCACAGCACAGCTTGGTCCCACACAATTATTTTAACACACATTCATTCAGTGGTAATAAGAGAGATCCAGTTAAAACATTCAGTGCTGACACAATGGCCTGGACAATGTCAGTGAGACAAATGCACAGCAACATCAGATGTTTTGTTTTGGGACTGCTCCTCTCCACCACATTTTGGTGGGGCTCTCTTTAATATAAGTTGAGATTCTGGCTATTTTCATTCATTCCCGTTTTTTTAATGTATTTTAGAGAGAGAGAGTTTCTAGTGAGATCATTTCAGTTGTTCAATGTCCTGTTTCAAATCTTTCTGAAAACCTAGAAGTATTCATTCATTTTTACTGGGTAACACATTTCTAATTTGATGAAAAGCTGTACATGGCAAACAGTTTGAGATACTGAAGGTTCATTCAGTTGTTGTAGAATGAAATCCTGACACAAGCAGAGCCAGAAAATGGTGGAATTATCTCCAAGAGCCCTTTTCTCTCCAAGAGCCCTTTCCAATGTCTCATGAGCTGTTGTTACATGATGAGCCTCTCCAGAAGCACTGCAGAGATCCATACAGAAGGGGTGAATAAAATCAGGATATGGCCTATGAAGGGACACTGATTTTTTTAAATATCACCAAGCTAAAGAACCACCACTTCATTCCAAATCCTCACTCCAGCCACTGTGCCTGCTGGCCACAGGCAGCACCAGGGAACATGGATGGAACAGGGAGAGCAAAGCTGTGCTCAGAAAGCTGCAGACAAATGCAGCAAGCTCAGCTATGAGGAGTTTCCAGACCTCTCCAAGTGCCTTTCACAGCTGTGGAACAGACCATACCTGTGGGATGTAACCACAGCAAGTGGCTGTGTGGAATCCAAACTTATCCACAAACTGGGCCTCAGAGTGACCGGCTCCTTTTCCTACAGAACAAAATCAATATTAGGGGATTTGAGATATTTACATGGTAAAGTTTGCAAACACAAAGCTTAAGGCAGGAAAAGTAACTTTAAGCAATGAATTACACTTATTTCATGGTCACAATCCTTTCTAAAGCTGGATAGAAATCTTTTGGACTTGAAGATGCTGGAAATGAGGCATAGTCAGCCATGGCCAGTGAGTTTGCTTTGGATGGAGGAGTTGGACATTCAGGAAAGGAGCCCAAATACAGAGTCCCAATCTGCTCTTCTGGCACTTGGACATGTTGCCATTAAATGTAGCTTGGGTTTGATTCACAGATTTTTTGGGACCTGCCAGTAATTTGACCTTCACTCAAAAATAATGGATTATAATTTGTCCACCACTAAGAGTCAGAGCCAGTCCACTCTGAAGTCATGGGAACAACAGAGATACAGACTGGCACTTCAGATTTTAACAGTTCCAACTCAAAAAATAATTCTTTATATAGCTGATTTCTTTTCATTTATTCTTTAATTCACTTCGAGGAGCATCAATTTTTGAATATTTTGCTACTTATTTGAGTTCAAAAATGTCATCCCAAACATCTTTAGAGGGGAGCTTAATTCTGCATTTACTAAGGGATGATATTCTGTAATTAGTTAATTATCTCAACCAACAGCAAGCAAAAAAAGGGATTTCTGTAAGCTCAAGAACATTTTCAGAGAGTGCATGACAGTGAAGCAGAGTCCAAATTGTCAGTTTGACTTAGGAAAGTTGAAAGCAATGCTGCACACAGCCAAAGGAATTGCTTCCTTTTTGGTTTAGTACATTACATCAAAGCTTTACCAATTGTGCTTCCCTCAGCTCTCAGCTTCTCTCCAAGTTTCTGGTTGTGAAGATGAAGCTCTGCTATCTGCTCTCCCAGCTTTGAAGAGTACCTGTAGGACCAAATAAACCAAAATCAAACTGAAACAAGTGAACAAATATTATATGGAAAAAAACTACCTCAATTAAATATGACCAAGGCTATTTTTGGCAAACATAGAACCTTAATCATATTCACAAGCACCTAACAGGGACCAAATGACAACAGCTCTGAAGACACAGATAACACAACAAACACACTAAATGCTCTTGCAAGAAAGGTAAAGAGAGCACAAGGTAGAATAAACAGGAGCAGAAAGGGAGGAGGAGGATGGTGTGCTCCTCCTTATCAGCCCCACTATCAGCAGAGAACAGAATGTGGGATCTCCTGTTGGCTTTACCCTTCCAAATCAGCTGAACAGCAGCTGAAAGGTAAATCTGAAAAGAAGCCATAGGCAGGGATGGAATCTAGTTTAGTTTTAGACAACTAAAACCCTGTTAAATATTCCACAGGTATCTTAACAGGAGTTTCAAGGACGGAAACTGATTTCTTCTCAATTCCCAGAATGGGGGGAAAACAATGGATTTAAAATTGCAACTGGAAGGACTAAGGTTAGACACTGGAAAATCCTTTCTAGGAACAGTGGGATGGATTAGAATAAACTGTTTGTGGAGGCTGTGGAATTGTCATTATTGTCCCAAATAAAATAGGTGGGTTGGATAAGCAGCTGCCAGAAGAGCCATGGGAATGACACTGTTCCCATATGGAGGCCTGGAACACAGCAGTGCTCCTGAAAATCTGTTTTCAGCAACACATGACTCCTAATTCCATGTTCAGGTTGGCTGACAGATGAAATGCAGATTCATGTCAACTTAATCATGGCTTAAAATCATACTGGAAGATTCTACAGAGAGAAGCAGAGGTTTCAAAGACCTAAGCAGCCTGTAAGGTTAAAGAAACCTGTTGGGCTGGGAAAAGAAACTCCAGTGAAAAATCTCATGATAGAACAATGAGCCAAACTCAGCTGTGATTAAATTCAGTGCAGCAGCATCTCAGCACACATGGAGCAGCACACAAATGAGCAGTGACAGCCATTTCTAGTGCAGGAAAAGCAAAACATGGACAAGGAGTGTGTACACACATATACAGATACATACACACATATATATTTTTTAATATGTACCCAGAGAAACACAGATTTCAAGAGAGAGAAGTTCTGTCTCTGAGAGAATAAAGCAACTCTGCTCATGAAGTTTCCTGGCTGACTGTAAAACATTAAAAAAATGTATCCCAAAAGAGAGTAAAAAGAGCTGCATGGACATACTTGTTGAGGTGCTTCATCTTTAGGTACTCCATGGCAAACATGGCTCCTCCTCCAGGCAGGTCAATCACTTTGATGGGCTGAGGCACTCTCACAATATTGGTTTTCTGAATGGCTTCCAAACTTGCCATTTCCCCTTCAAACATTTTTCTAGCCTGTTAAGGAACAAGAATATCCTTGGGCTAAACTATGGGTGTCTACAATGAGTACATTTGACAAAGTGTCGAGGAGTTATTTCCTCTTGGTAAAGGGAGAGAGCTGCAGCAAGGCTTCAGCCCACACAGGAAGACTTAAGGGCCTTAACCCTAACCTCTTTTTTCTTTTTTCCTAAATTCATTCCAGGGTTGTAGGATATGTCACATTTCACCCTGATTTCCAGCTGCTTATGAAGACCCCAAACTACCTGGATGAAACAGCACCTCTGAGGATAATGTGGCCACTGCTAAATGAGGTAACATTGAGGCCTTAAATTGGTTCTTCTTTCCCCACAGGCCACTGGATGGAGACGACAGCACAAATATTCAGCATGTGCTCTGCATTTTTGAAGCAAAGGTGCTGTTTTTCACAGCAGTTTAGGATGATTTTGATAGGGATAAAGCAAATTTCTGATGCACTGTGGTGTTAGAAAAAGCATTTGAGTATTCATTTAGTAATAGAGAAGTCAAGAGTTTGGCTTGAGAAGCTGCAAGAGTTTTACTTTTAGAAATGCCAAAAACAATGGGGATGTTTGAAATTTCTGTAGCTTTAAAGATAATAAGTGAGTTTTAGCACTGGCCCCTGTTTGTGCCCTCCCATTATCAATCCTCCCAACTGGAACATGAAAAGGAATGCAGTGAATGCAAAGTCAGCTCTGGGCTTTTCCAAACTCCAAGTACCACAGTAACAGCTTTGTGCTTGGCCTCCTTTTTACAGGAATTCCAGTTCATTCGTGCTGTTGAGGGTTATCACATTGCATTACACTGCATTTCACACTAACCACACGTGCTACATTAATTCTGGATATAAAATAGACCCAGCTTTAAAAAGAAAACTCAGAACTGAAATAATTATGTATTATTAACGATCAGCTGCTTTTAAAATAAAAAGCTATCTCTATGCAATCATAGAGCTATCTCTATGCAATCATAAGATCTGCTGGCATTGACCTGAGGTTTGTGGTTGATTTTCACAAATACCCGTCCTCTGTCTGTCTCATACGTTTGGCCTTGGCTGATGCATCCTCCCCCAGAGCTCCCCAGTGCCTTCAGGAGGTTGGTGTTCAGCTCTGCCTTCAGGATCTTCTCCATGGTCATTTCCAGGCTGCTGCAGCCGCTCCGCTGCTAAACCTGCTGCGAAACAGGATTAAAGGTCTGGGTCCTTCTGTCACTGTCACTCTGCGATGAGGTAGGAAGGGCCACCCACCACAGGAAAAAAATTTAAAGAGCACAGCTAAAAAAATAGCTCAGCTAGAGAGAATGTTTCAAAATGCTTTGCTTTTATAGCTATACATGAAAAATAAAATTCTTTATAAATATTTGCTGCAATAAACTGGAGAGATTAATTCTAGGAGAGGTGGGTCCTGGGGCCTCTCAGCGCTGCTGGAGCTGCTGGTATTTGTAGTTTGGAGCCGCTCTAAAGCTCGGGATCGCCTGCGGAAGAGCGGTTTTAGGCCGATCCACTAGAGGGAAGCTGAAGGCAGCCCCAGGAATGGCCACAGGCGCTGTATCGGGGGCATTTGGTGTGAAACCCAAAGCTTCAGCCCAAAGGGATGTGATTAAATCCGCTAATCGGCCGGTGGGGTGCGGGGAGGAGGATGAGCCAGGCGGGGATCCCTGCGGGAATTCCTGCGGTGCGGGACAGTGCCGTGGGGACGGGGAGATCCCAGCCGGGCTGCGGTACGGGACCTGCGGGCACAGCGCGGCTGAGCGGCACCCACGGGGCTCGGTGTGAGGGGAGGCTGTTCCCGGTGTGAGGGAACAGTTCCTGCAGTGATGGAGGGCTGTTCCCGGTGTGAGGGGAGGCTGTTCCCGGCGTGAGGGAACAGTTCCTGCAGTGATGGAGGGCTGTTCCCGGTGTGAGGGGAGGCTGTTCCCGGTGTGAGGGAACAGTTCCTGCAGTGATGGAGGGCTGTTCCCGGTGTGAGGGGAGGCTGCTCCCCGTGTGAGGAGAGACTGCTCCCAGTGTGAGGGGAGCTTGTTCCTGCAGTGATGGAGGGCTGTTCCCGGTGTGAGGGGCGGCTCTTCCCAGTGTGAGGGGAGGCTGATCCTGGTGTGAGGGAACAGTTCCTGCAGTGATGGAGGGCTGTTCCCGGTGTGAGGGGCGGCTCTTCCCAGTGTGAGGGGAGGCTGATCCTGGTGTGAGGGAACAGTTCCTGCAGTGATGGAGGGCTGTTCCCGGTGTGAGGGGAGGCTGCTCCCCGTGTGAGGGAACAGTTCCTGCAGTGATGGAGGGTTGTTCCCGGTGTGAGGGGAGGGTGTTCCCAGTGTGAGGTGGGGCAGTTCCCAGTGTAATAGGAACAGGTGCTACTGGTGTGAGTATTCATTTGCTGTTCCCGGTGTGAGAGGATGCTGTTCCCGGTGTTATGAGGGGCTGTTATGAGGGGCTGTTCCTGGTGTTATGAGTGGCAGTTATAAGGGGCTGTTTCCGCTGTGAGGGGATGGTGTTCCCGGTGTTATGAGGGGCTGTTATGAGGGGCTGTTTCCGCTGTGAGGGGATGGTGTTCCCGGTGTTATGAGGGGCTGTTATGAGGGGCTGTTCCCGCTCTTATGAGGGGCTGTTCCCGGTGCTGTGAGGGGATGGTGTTCCCAGTGTTATGAGGGGCTGTTCCCGGTGCTGTGAGGAGATGGTGTTCCCGGTGTTATGAGGGGCTGTTATGAGGGGCTGTTCCCGGTGTTATGAGGGGCTGTTATGAGGGGCTGTTATGAGGGGCTGTTCCCGGTGTTATGAGGGGCTGGTGTTCCCGGTGTTATGAGGGGCTGTTATGAGGGGCTGTTATGAGGGGCTGTTCCTGGTGTTATGAGGGGCTGTTCCCGCTGTGAGAGGATGGTGTTCCCGGTGTTATGAGGGGCTGTTCCCAGTGTTATGAGGGGCTGTTCCAGGTGCTGTGAGGGGCCAGTTCCAGGTGTTATGAGGGGCTGTTCCCGGTGTTATGAGGGGCTGTTCCAGGTGCTGTGAGGGGCCAGTTCCCGGTGTGACATGAGTCTGACACTGTTCCCCTCTCTGCACAAGCGCCCCGTGGCCCTCCAGACTCGAACACAGAGGTTCCTGTTTAATGCAGTGCACGCTCCATGTAAGTACCACATTGACAAAAATTAGAACGTGAAGTCTTATTTTAGAGCTTGCTTACCACAGAAATGGTGTTTTGGGATGAATGACACATTCAATGCCACTGAAAGGACATGACATTCTGCTGCTGGATTTTCATACTGTGTGTTTTTGGTTTTGATGTGCACAACACCATTGGTTTCACTATTTCGTGTGGTTTTATACAGGGGATAAATACCATTAGATTCAACTCTTAAGTCCATGAAATCTGTGAATTACTAATAAAAATAAAATAAAATCATGTATTTTTTGCAAACGATTTAAAATATAAAAATGAGTTATGGGCCTGCATATTCAGGCAGAGGTACCTAAAATGCATTAAACACAATGAATATATATTAAACACAATTAAAATGTGTTCAGTACAATAAAATGTATTAAATATACTTAACAATGTATTTATGATTGTTAAATTGTACCAATAGTGTGATAAATTCTGTAGTGCTACAATTGTGCATTTGGATTCCTTGTGAAGTTCCCTCAGTAACTTTTAAGGACAAACTTCACTAAGCTAAAAATGGATCTATAATTATTATGCTTATGCACAGCAAGGTTTAGTGTATGCAATTAATTTGATAAATGGTTTTGTATGTTTTTTTAATACTTTGGGGAATTAATTAGTGGGTTAAATACTTTCCTGTAAGAATAAATTTCATTTCATACCACTCTATGAGAAAGTTCTAGGACAAAAATGCCACAGACTCTGTGGTAAAAGAAACACAACTTGAAGAACACTATTTCAAAAATAAATAAATTGAGTGCTTCTGAAAAATAAATAATTTCTTCTGATTTTTTAGAAATGGTTTCTTTAACTGGGGAAGGTTAGCTTTATCTTTCTTTAGAAAAATTTGAAGAACAATATACCTGAATTAGATACCAGGAATGTGAACTCAGCCTTTAAGTTTCATGTAAGGCTTCTGATACAACAGCTGTCTACAAAATTGTTACCTGAAACGTGGAAGAATAACTCAGGCCAAGTCTTTCATGTGTGAAGGGATTGTGTGACTCCTCCTCCTCAGTAATAACAATCCTTTGGTGCAGCTTCATCCCAGTTTCATATCAGCGTCCCCACAGTGTTGGCTGTGATGTTCCTCCTGGATCAGCACTGGGAGTGTAAAAATTCCGGCCCGGAAAGTGCCAGGTAGTGCCGTACCTGGAGCAATCGTGCATGAGTTTAAAGAGAAGGGCCATCAGAACGAGTCTGCTCTCAGGGAAAGGCAAACCCCGTGCGGTGGAAGGAATTCCTGCGGGCTCTGGCCCCGGGTACGAGCAGGCTCCGCCCGCCGGGCTGAGTGCGCCGGGGGAGCTCCGGGGAACGCTGCGATGGAGCTGGCGGGGTGCTCAAACTGCAGCTCCCTGCAGCTCCGCGGGGCTAAACCTCCATCGGAGGCACCCAGACTTTAATATCTGCCCGCCCAGTCCGGGTGTAGCATGAGCAATTCTGTGCCATGCACACAACGGCTGCGTTGGTTCATTTCTTCCAAATTATAGCCTTGGTCTCCCCAGTGAGCAGCCTGGTCCCTTTGTGTGATATGCAGGAGGAATGCCTGGCTGCAGGGAGCATCTCCGCGGGTGTGTGTCCGTCCCCAAGGCCAGGTCTCTGTTCCTCCTTCCAGCCACGATAAACACAAGGTAAGGACAGGCTGGAGCGGCACTCCCGGCTCCTGCAGCAATCCCACACGGATTATGTAAAGCCTGGGGCCCTTGTTGGGCAGGAGAAGCTTTAAAAAAAGCAAAGGGTTTGTTATTTCATATACCCAGTCTCTTGGCGGCCTGAGGAAACAAAACCTCATAAAGAAGCAATGTGATTATTCTATTTTATATGTATATATGAGTACCCAAAGAATACCACAGCAGCTGGTCTGTGCAGAGCTCCGGGGCTGCACCGAAAATCTGCGGTCACCTGCCAGCAGAGCTGGTGACAAATCCGAGACGCGACAGCAGCGGAAGGCACAGAGAGAGCACGGGAAAGGAGGTGAACGCACAGGAGGGATGGGGAATAGCTGCTGTTGGTGTGAGCACACACAGCCTGGGCTCCAGCTCACCATGCAGGCATGGAATAATCCGACTGGGAAGGGTCCATCATCTTGCTCGAAGTAAAATCACTATTTAAATCCAGTTAGGGTGCTCAGGACCTTGTGTCCCGAGAACTTCCACATTTTCAGGACGTATCTGTGCTGTTGGTGGTAGGGTTTGGGGTTTTGTCAAGTCAGGGAATCCCTATTTTAGCGCGTTCCAACCGCAGCTCCTGAGTTTTCACTAGTTTGATGTGAAAGCTTTTACCAAGCAGTCCTTTGGAGCTGGGAGGGGCCCGGGCCACCCATCCTGCCCTCCGGCCCGGCAGTCAGTCCTGCTTTGTCCCGATCGGTCCGGGCAGTCAGTCTCAGTCACTCCCGGCGCTCAGCCCCGGTCACTCCCGGTCCATTCCCGGCGCTCCCGCCGCCATTCCCGCGGCGCTCGACTACTCGGCGCTCCTCCCGCCGGGGGCTGGATGGGCTCTGCGCTCGGCAGCGGTGCCTGGCAGGCGGAAGCAGCGGCCGGCCTGTCCGCCTCGGCCCGGCGGGACTCGGCCGGACTCGGCTCCGCTCAGCCCGGCTCGGGCGGGTTCGGCTCAGCTCGGCCCGGCCGGGCTCGGTCCGGCTCGGCTCCGGCGGGCTCGCTGGACTGGGCCCGACTCGGGCGGGCTTAACTCGGCCCGGCTCGGTTCGGGCTCCCGCGGCGGGGCTGAGGCGGGCGGGCGCCGCCATGGTGTGAGGGGCGGGGGCGAAGGGGCCGAGCCGGAGCCATGAACCTGCTCCCGGCCAACCCGCACGGTAACGGGCTGCTCTACGCCGGCTTCAACCAGGACCACGGTGAGGCTGCGGGCCCGGGGAGCCGGGTGGTGCCGTGGAGGGGCGGCGGTGCGGAGCCGGGGCCGGGCTGGGCTGGGCCCGGGGCTGCCGCGGCTCCCGAGCCATCCCTGCGGGGTCCCGCTCGCGTCCCGGGGCCGCTGCTGCCCTGGGCATGCCCGAGGGGTGGCGGCTGCAGTGCTGGAAGGAGCCGGGAAGGCCGCTGGCAGCGGGAGGGTTTAGCGGCTCTCCCGTTGTTCAGCGCTGTGCGGTCTGTGCCCAGCGCTTCAAGTCTGGAGAGTTGAATGGGGAGTGGGTGAGCGGAGAAGGAACAGGACCAGGCCCAGGCTTGTTGGGGCTTGCTGCGCTTGGCTGCTCCCCGTGTGTGGCTCCGGCAGGCTCTCAGAGCCTGGGCTTCAGGGGCTTCCTTGAGAGCTGCTCACAGTTCAGCCCTTTCTCAGTCGAAGTACTCCACATTCAAAATGAGTGGCGTAACTGCTTTCTTCTTTCTTTTTACCTGGTTTGTGTTTTAAAAACTGTGGTTAACATACTAATCACACTGGCAGGCAAGCACTGATAGAACAGCCCCTGTGCATCCTTGGCTTATCTTTTCCCTTTGTTAGAGGGGAAGGCCTGCTTCAGAAACAGGGTGCATGTTCCTCATCCTGCTTTGGCAAGACAAAAATAGCACCAGTCTTATGAGTAAGTGTCGTTTTTGTGGAATAAGGGGTAGAAGCTCATCATTTTGTAACATCCTTTTGCCTTAACAAATAATATTCTTGCTTAAGACGCTCTGGCAGCCTCTGTCATTGTAGACTGCAGCTCATGTACCTGTTGCTGACGCTGTTGAAGTCGTGTGTAAACACGAATTATTCTGTTGATTTTAGTCAAAGGTCTCTGATGACATCTTGGCAATAGTACATGAAGGAGGTAATGAGGTGAGAGCATCTTGGCAGCTCTCTTCCTCCTATCCCATAGACTTGAAAAGAATAGAACAGTTTGTTTCTCTGCACTTATTTTAATCTTGCCTCTTGAACAGAGATGAAAAAAGATTTTTGAGCATGGGCTTAATTTCAGATCTGCAGGGTCTGTAATGGAGCAGTGATATTTGGTGCTTGGCCTGTGTAAGAAGAAAAGTTTCTCTTTTATTGCAAAATGCCTTTAGATCATCATATAAATGTAAAATTTGTTTGTTATGAAGGCTCCCTTAATTCCATAGCAATAAATGCAAGACATCCTCCTTTTTCAAATGATATCACCTCCAAAGCACCTTAAGGAATTTGTCTTGGCAATCTGTGAGCTGGCAGTATTCATGTCCCATCCACCTCACCTGGCCAGGCAATTGAGTGATGACAGAAAACAAGAAAAAACACAATTGGCTTCTGTTTGGCAGCTCCTGGAGCTGCTGCTGTGAGGAATGATGACGCTGCACTGCAGTGACTGAGTGACCTTTTATGAGTTTAGGGCTCCTGTAAAGTGCTGAAGGGCAGGTGATGTTTGGCCACCTGAGGGAGAGCAGAGGGGAGGGAAAGCTCCCTGCTTCCTTCTTGCTTTGCCAGGTATAGAGTGTGAGTCACTGGAGTGCTGGAGCTCACAAGTGTGGGTGTCTGCATGTACTGCCACAATAACCTAATTTCTTAGTAATTTAAGTCTGGCCAATCCCACAGGGATGGGAGAACAGGAGGAACCATCTAAGAAGTCTCTCTGGGGCTGAGTCTCCCTGACTAGCAAGGATAAAGCAGCTGTGGTTGTTCTGCCATGGGCCTCCTTCGCTCTGACTGGAGTGATGCTGGTTTTCTATCAGGTGTCTTTGTTACTTTTAGGCTTTAAATTAAAAAACAAACAATGTAACACAAGGAAATGGAAGTTGTCATTTGTTTGAAGTCAGAATATTCTGCTTTTATCTTCGTTATTTCGAGACTGTGAGCTCCTGATTTCAGATCCTTTTCTAATGCTTAGAGAAGGACAATAAAGTGTTTTTCAGAAATGGAGACAAAACATCGTAATAAATGGCCATACCTGTAAATTGCTGACAGATTTCTCTTTTGTCACTGTTGCAGCCTAAAGCTGCTTTGAAAACTGAGGTGTGGGTTTGTTTTGGTGTGGAAACCCTTGACTTATGTATTTACTCTTCTCCAGTGGGCTGGGATGCTTTGTAGGGCCCCACAGTGTTGGTAGGGTCCTGTGCTCTTGGCTGTACACAGCATTTATGGTGCCAAGGAAAACCACCATGGCCCAAACTGTGCTGGACGTGGTCACTTCCCTGTGCTCCACTACTGCCCCTGTGGGACCTCACAGCCCAGAGCCTGCAGGTTTCTCTGGGCCAACATGTCCCCTTCTAAAGGCTGGTCATTCATTTAACCCTGCCTTTTTCTGCAGAGTTGGAGGAGCAAAACTCGCTCTGGTCTCACTGGCACTGGTGGCAAAAAGCTCATTTACTGTAGGAACAAGCACAACTAGGGGTCAAGGCAATTACTCTGTAATCATTACTTTTTTTTTTTAAAGTATCTGAGTTATCTTTTGTCAGTGGCTTTTCAGCTCATCTGTCCCCTCTGGAAAAGAGAGGTGCACTTCTTGTGGAAGGAAGTGAACCTAAGGAAGTGTCCCCTCCACTGTCAGCCCCTTTCAGCTCTCACATGGAAGGCTTACAAGCCATCAAATTGGTGATTCCAGTGGAACAGAAATCAGTCAGATGGGATCACCAAGCTTCAAAGCTGTTCCTATGATTGAAGCAGGAATCTTCCTGTAGGGTTTTCTTCTCTTGTTTGACTCAGGGATGCCGTGCCTGAGAGCTTCATATCTCTGTGGGTAGTGATCGACCACATGGGGAATTTCACTGTTACTCACATCCCCACGTTCTGCTGTGCTGTCTTCAGTTAAAAATGTGGATATTCCCAAGGCATTAAAGCAGCCCACGTCTTACTCATGAGGTTGGCCCTGCAGAAAGCTGTAGTGGTGCTGCAGGAGGTGTAAAGTATGTGTTTGATTGCATCAGGAATGCTGCATTTGGGTTCTTAGGAGCTTCTGGGATCAGCACAACTCAAAGCTTACAGCACTTCCTTACTGGGAACAGCTTCAGCATCCCTTCCCTTTGACTGTCCTGGAAATACAAGATGGGAGTAGAAAACTGTTGCTGGAAAATAATTATATGGATCAGCTGTGAGGAACAGATCAGTTCTGTCCTGTACAGCAGTGCTTTGTGTAGAGGGGAAGGTTTCCAGTGCAGTTCTCTCCTGTAGAGCAGTGCTTGATGTAGAGGGGAAGGTTTCCAGTGCTTTGTGTAGGGGGAAGGTTTCCAGTGCTTTGTGTAGAGGGGAAGGTTTCCAGTGCAGTTCTCTCCTGTAGAGCAGTGCTTGATGTAGAGG